ATAATTAATAAAATGAGTTCGAAAAATAATAAATCATATCGTTATACTTCCGATTTTTATCGTAAAGTGAAACGTCTAAAATCTCAAGTGCAGAACAACGTGACCTAAATATGTTATATTTACCTATAGGTAAATTTTTTTAAAAACCTATAAGTTATTATTTCTTTAAATAGGTAAAGTTAACTAATATGTCGTGAAATTGAAGTTAATTCAACTTAGTAAAAAGGTATTTGTAAAATACGTAGATTTCCTTAGTCATAATAACTTTTAGGTCGAATTCGCACAATACGCCATATTTTCTTAACGTAATTGAAGTACGATTCCAAATTTTAAATTTTTAAAATGACCATAACTAAAACATACGAATGAAAATACCGAAAAACGAAACATTATTGATTTTCTAAAGTGATACACAACAAACGTAACATAGTTTTAGCTCATAATATTATTATTAGTTTTTTACACGATCATATTTTTTTCTTATATTTTTTAATTAGAGAGTATTTTGGAAGGGCATTGTTATTTTTCTAAGTAGAACTGTTAACATGCACGACAAAATTTTCTTCACATTAATTTCAACAAGCATGAACTGTATATTCACCGCAATTACATTACATATATTTTTGTCACCGACATTTATTTATTTTCAATCTTTCATGTGAATTAGGTATATGTTTTAGTTATGTTGGTGACTTCTTACAATATTTTTACTTATATATAGATAAAAATACCAAATAAGTATAAAATTTCTTTTCGTACACTTGGAGGCATACGTCATCTGCAAATATTTTGGTAGTTTCTACCTAAACTTAGTTAAATCAACGTCGAATTAACGTTATACTGACGTCAAATTTCCCTAGAGAGGTATTACTAACCAAACGTACTGGGCTACTACAATGTGGATTTAGATGTAATTCTACCTATTTTGGTAAATAAAACCAAATTTCGACGTCGTCTTATTCTCCACTTATGTCGAATCCACGTCGAGCCAACGTAAATTTTACTTAATTATGGTTAAATCTAATTTTGCGACCAAATTTATTATATATAATTTAGGTAGTATCGACGTCAAATTACACCAAAATGTTTGCTGGGATAACTAAAAAAATATATACTGACAATTAGTTTGACAGAATATTTAAAATTTAAAAATTTAATATTAGCCAGGTGACCAAAATATGATCTATAATTGGGGATTTCATATTTGTGCAGTGTTCTTACTACTTAGAATGGATATGAAATATATTCATTTAATCGAACGCAATGGAATATTTTTTCGTTTTGTAGTCTGTACGTAAATACGCTAATATCCATGTGGGTGTAGAAAATTAAAATTCCAACGTAGTATTAAATTAAATAATTAATCAATATTAATTGCTATGGTTATTTGGGTAATCAACTTCAAAATTCGTACATGAGCATTTGTTATAGCCAACCTCAACAATTAGTCTGTTTCGTGCCTTGGTTTTAATAGCATTAAAAAACCACTCTCGTAGAGATATGTATAGGCAAATGAAAGTAAAACAAAAAAGACGAGCATTAGTGGCATTTGGATGTGATTGAAACATAGCACACCAGAACCGAGTCAACACTTTTTTATGAAACAAATTACTTGTTCAAGAATCGCTCTGCAAAATCAAGAATTTATCCTGTATTTCATTCTTCATCATTCTTCACTGTTCTTCATCATTCTTCATCGTTCTTCATCGTTCTTCATCATTCTTCATCGTTCTTCATCATTCTTCATCGTTCTTCATTTATTTCATCATCAGTCATCATTCTTCATTCGTCATCAGTCTTCATTCGTCATCCTTTGTAATCCTTCATCATCTTATCATTCTTCATTACTCATTCCTTTTTTCTTTTTCCTATATAAGCTCGGGAAAGTAACTTTTTCAAGAGATTTAAGGTGCCCAGTAATCTTTTCTTTCAGATTATCATCCTATTCATCTTCAGTTTCTTCTACCACATCGCAAAGTTTTTCAAACATGGTAATATTTTTTCTAAAATGTATTTTCCGAAGCAAGTTTGCAGCAGAATGCAAATGCCCAAAAATTGTTTTAAAATTGGATAATTTATCTATGTTTCCTTTCTCTGACGTGTCAGGTTCAGCTTATTTAGCTAGTCTAAGATGTCTGCTAAGTAAGCAACTCTTTTATTCAATGCACTTCCAAGAACAACTTGATTTCGTATTTCAGCTCAAAGACAAGATTCGCAACATTTACTTTCCACAACCAATGTACGTACAGTAGTACAGAAAAGAAGAAACTCATGATCAGAATTCATGTCTTCACAAGGGTCTTTAAATAGACCAGTATCGAGGGCTCCAGATTTTATATAACTTATAATTTTGATCAGAAAATTATGTACTCCTGCAGAGTCTTACTGGCAAGAGCATATCGATGAATGATGAAGAGAGTGCCCTCTGCTTGTGGAGAAATTTATTTCAATTTTGTATGTTCGACCCTACCATAGCTGGAGTTCCACCTGTACAAACCCCCCCAGACGTTTCTATCAAACACAGAAATTATCTTCTTCTTCTCCTATAAAACAGGAACTTCTCTTGAATTAATATTGCTAAGTCACGCCAATTTGACGATTGTAGTTATTGAGTAACATCACTGGAAACATGGCGGCGCTAGCAAAATATACGAGGTAATTCTCAACAGCGTTAAGAACAGCGAGAGCTTTTAATATTTAAAAATATATTTGAAAGTATCCGCTGTAATTGCCGAACTGTAATTTCATTAGGTATATCTCGCAAATGATTGAATTTAATAAACAAATGTTAAAAACCTCCATATCAAATTTTTAGTACAAGTAAAAACATCGTGGCGGCCCCCCAGAAAAAACCGGTTGGAAACCACTGATCTAAATGTTAAAGGGTCAGTAGGTTAGCAGAATAAAAAATATTTTCTAATTCAGATAATAAGCTTAGTTTTATTTTCATCATGAAATACAGTACCTTCAACAATACCCGTATACCACGTGACAAACTTGATGTCATCAGCTATCTAAAAGTTACATAACTTCAGAAGTAACCTGGGAAAAAACAAAAGAAATATATTACTTTCCCTCGGTTCCTTAATGTCATTAGTCCATTTTAATTTGCATCGGGCAAATTTAGTCAAAACTGTCAGATGTCTTGTGTTTTTATATTACAAGAGTGGTTTCTTTCAGGTTTTAGAGTTTATAGTGTATATTTTTTAAAAAAGTTTTTTAAGTGTGCTCAACGTAGTTGTAGCAGCCTAACAGATATTCATACGAAGACATCTGAAATAACATTCTACAACTGAGTATACAACAACAATGTGCAGGGTGGTATTTGGGAAATTGAGATATTAATTGTACCTTGAGTGAGAGTGTTTGCTGAAGTTGATACAACAAATTAGATTTAAAAGAATGATAAATAAAAAATAATCTCTTTGATTTCTTAAATTCCAGAAATTTACTTCATTTTCATTATAAAAAACCTTTATCTTTAAGAATAATAATGAAAGTATAGAAATTTTCTTAAATGACATGGATAAGTAGGTATATTAGTGCCTTAAAACACCATAGATGGCATTTTTATTTTAAACACCAACATTTATAGTTTTTACCAATGTGACAAATGTCTCAAGACCACATATAACTGTTCTTTGATTGTATTCAATCATATGGAGGCAACAATAACCCCATCGCCCGACAATTTCTAGGGAACTATTTTCAAACTTGAGATTTTCATGAAAAATGTCATATGTCATCGTAAAAACACTACTTTTAAAGCCAGTAAAAACTCACTGACAGTTTATCTTTGTTTATTTCGAAAGTATTAAAATTCTTCCAAGAATTTGAATTCTTACTGGCTTTAAAAATACTGTTTACACGTTGACGTATGACATTTCTCATGAAAATCTTGAGATAAATGAGTTCTCCTAAGTTTTAAAACAAGTCTGTAGCTTACAAAAATATTAAGTAGGTATATGTCGAAGTACGTGATATTTTTCGTGGAAATTGTATTCCTCTAGAACAGCTACGAATTTTAAAATGTCCTGTTCATCAAATCACACACTTTTCAAAAACCTTTGATCAAGTCGATCACAATATTTTAATAAATAAGTTATTCTTAATTGGCTTTAACTTAGGTTATGTTTTGTGCTGGAAGAGCTCATTTTCTGACCGAATTCAACGGGTAAAAAAGTTACATCTGGTGTGCCCCAAGGGGCCCACATTTCCTTTAACATTTTTGTAAATGACATTACTGATTGTTTTTTGAATAACCAAAGTGTAGAGATGATCTTAAGGTTTGGAAAACAGTAAAGCGCATTTGTACACCTCCTTCAGGAGGATTTGAATCGTTTAGCTGGTTGATGTAATAAAAACAAACTGTACTTAAATGTGAATAAATGTTGCTATATAAGTTTTTCCCGTAAACCTGATAGGATTGCAACAAACTACTGTAGTAATAATCAGCAATTTGAATACAAATTTTCATTAAGGGATTTAGTTGTCATTTTTGATGAAAAATTAACACTCGTGGAACATATAAATTCAGTTTCTATTAAAGGATCAAAAATGTTAGGTTTTGTTATTAAAAACTCTAAGTATAAAGTATAAATAAAAACAAATTATCCAAAATTCTTAAAAATGGAGATTGTCGCCTTTGGTTCTAGACCCCTCATATACTGCCTTTAAACAAAGCATATATTAAATGGCGTCCTTTATCTATTTCTTTTGTTCTTCTGAGGTAGTAACCCTAAAAATGTCACCGACATATTTGACATACCTAACATTTATCATAAAAGTCACTAATAATTGCCTTTTTCTTTAAATGTATTGTTCTACCAAATCACGTGGGATATGAATATTGTTGAAGATTCGTGTTAAGTAATTCAGAAAATACGTGAATACAAGAATATGGTTCAATAGAAATTATTTGCATTTAAAAATTTAATGAATGCGAAAGATAGATCATAATTCTAGTTACCAATAATTCATTATAAATAAACTAAACTTACCTGTTTCATCTCCAATTGCCCAAACCAACAAATCCACACATGCAGCATTTGCTTGGACATTTAACTTAAATTTGTTTACCAAAGCATAATTGTTTTCGCGGTCTTCCCTTTCACTTAAATCGTGGTTCCGGCTCTGTAGCTCAGTCTGACCATTTAAATATAGTCCTACAAAATATTATTGTCACAAATTCATCAAATCCATAGTTATTAAAGAAATTTATTTATTTTTTCTTACCTTTAACAAATTCTTGAACGTCCTTAGTAAACGGCACTGGTAAATCTTTCTGAGGCTGTAACAGCTCCCTCATAAGCGTCACCATAACTAAATTGACAGTTTCCGAAAAACTCTTGTACGGAAAAATTTGAATCTTCCCTGTGGTACTAATCTCCAAGCTTTGTTCATCTAGCAAAGCCAGTATTTCTTTGGTGAGGATTTGCTTACTGAGTGTCAAAATGGTAGATAGATGAGCTTGAGGGAATATTACTTGAGATTGTTTGTCGTTGGGATCGTTTAACCGCAGGTGAGGGAATTGATTGAAACTTGAACCGAATTTGGCAAAAAAGTAGGTTTTGGCATCGCAAAGGCCAACGTTTTGGTGTATTGAGATTCCGCGTTTTAATGAATTTGAGTTGAAAGCAACATCAGTAGTGTCATATCCGCCCTAAAAGAGAAATTAATAGGGTTAAAAACATTTTCTATAAACAAATATTAAATATATATGTAGGAAATGAAACAAGGAGGATACCACTTCTGGTATCCTCTTCAGGCATAAAATTGGTATATGGAAACCAAATAAGGTTCAGTTTCTTTTTAAATCAAAAGTGGTTATGGAAATTTGACACGTTTCAACGTGTATATTAATACATTTTAATAAATGAAATATTTCTAAAAATATCCCATCAATTATTTTACAATAAACTTACAGTAGTAACCGCCAATATATCCACAGTGGCGTGCAGATTTCCAGACAAACTCCTAGGGATGATATTCCGAAAACTGCTGAAACTTCTCTTGTATATATTCTGTTCTTTCGCCGCAACCTGACTTAGAGGTGGTTCTGGTTTAGGAAACAATCTACAAATTAAAGGCGGATCGCTTGTACAGAATCTTCCCATTGCTCTTGCTAAACCTATGAGTACAGGAAGGGTTGTTTTGCATAAAAATAGTTTGCTGGCGCTATTTCTATTGTTGGCATCTTGAATTTTCAGCACTTGGTTGGTTAAGCTTACCAGAATGTCGACCTAATAAGGACATATATATTTTTTTAATAAACACTATTAGAAATGTTTAAATTTTAAGGTAACGTAGTGAAGTATAGTTCTTCCATTATCAATTGCAGATCATAAAAACTCGTTCGGAACCTTTACCGACAATTTTGTTTGATCTGCCATAGGCGTAGATACCTACCTCATTTTATAAATTTATTTTATTAATACTTTTAATATATATCAAATGCAAGAAAGTATTCGTTAAAAGGAAATCGAATAATTATAAATTAGACGTTATTATACGCCCTTATTTAGATAGATGCACTTAATTGTAATCTTACTTAGACTTAAAAAAAAATCATTATAGCTGGTTAACTTGCTACAACTGAATATTAAATTATAAAACGTAAAGAAGCGAGTAAAGTGTACCTGTCTGTAAGGGCGTTTGGTTTAAACAGGGTACCAGACGTGAACTGAACCCTTTTTGTACCCCATTCGTTCTTTTTCTGGAAAACGAAATTTCAAAGAAAAAAACCATAAAGGAAAATAAATTCTTTGCAAATAAAACAAAAGAAAACAAAAACAATTCAATTCTAAAGTATCTTTATAAATAATCATGGCAGTCTGAATCCTCTAAACTAGAGTCATCATTTAGTTGAATTATGATGGGTTGTAAAGAGGGTAATACTACATACTCATCTTCTTCTTTGATAACATGTTCAACACAGTTTTTCCAAAGCTCTTGGCGGTCTGCTGCTAGAAATTTCTTTACGAGTTCTACAACTTCTTTACTCAGTTCTGGAGACTGATTACATTTTCGTAATTCTGATTTTAAGTTTGCCAATATTAACTCTATAGGGTTAAATATGCAATAGTAAGGAGGTAGTCTGAGAAGAGTTTGCACAGCTTGTCAATATAATACATTTTTTCTAACTTTATACCTTTAATAACAGTAAGCAATTCTTTGTTCGTTGGTTCTATTTTACTATCACTGGCAGGAATAGGAATATTTTTTTCAGACATAAAAGCTAAAATTTGAGCTTTTTTACTGCTACTATTTGGTATTTTAAGGAGTTGCCGCGAGTGGTAGGATGCGTTGTTCATAACGATTACTGACTGTGGTGGAATGTAAGGTAAAAGCTGTTCATTAAACCGTTTTTCAAATAATTCTGCTGTCATATCTTCATGATAATCAACTGCACAGTTTTTAATTTGTTTAGCAGATAATAATAAAGCATTAGACACGAAACCGTCTTTGCTTCCAGCGTGTACTATTATAATGCGTTTCCCTTTAGAACATGGTCCATTCAAACAGCAATTTTTACTACTGCCAACCCAACCGAAATTTACTACATCGTGACTGTCAAACCATGTTTCATCTAGATAAATTATGTGTCTATTAGAACTTCTGTAGCCTTTTATCTGATGCAAGTAATCTTGTCGCCATTGAACTATCCTTGACGATTCGGTGATTGCCATCTGTTTATTCAATTTTTTGTGTTTAAAACCACATGCTGACAAAACTTGACGCAATGTTTCCAAACTGGTATAAGTGTATCCTGGAAAATCTGCCACCTTTTGCTGTATTACTTCCAATGTCGGAACTCTGTTCTCCTTATATAAACTATAAATTGTCCTTCGTATAAAATCTTGGGTAGCTCTATCAACTGATTTCGGTTTTTCTTTACATGTTTTTCGGTTTTATGAATAATCCACAGCAACCCCTTTCGTGACTACCGGATAAACGGAAAATTTATTTACTTTAGTTAATTCAGCAATTGTTATTATGAACGCATTATCAGACTGCTGAATATTTTCCTTTTTTAAACATTCGAATATATTTAAAATAACTTGTGTTTATATATCTAAATCCTTATCGTTAAAGTCATACCTGTCTTTAATCTCACTACACTGTGCAATTTCATTTTCTTCATTCGTCCATGGTCTAAAGAACGCCATATTTATATTTATTAAAAGACATTTAAATTAAACCAACCACACATACAAAACACACCGCACGACAGTACTCCACTGATATCGCAGACTGTCTTCCAGGAATATTTTCGAACACCTGCCTTCCGTAAACCTTCGGCCAATACAGTGCATTTAAGTTTACGATTCGATGTTTTCATTGGTAAACAACTGATGGTTCGTTTAATAATTACCGCTTTGTATAAGGGGAGTAAACATTATTTTTCGTTTCTTAATTTGGCATGAGTACCGTGCGTATATATTAAATATTGATGATTCCCCACATAACTGTGTTCTGCAATTGATAATGGAAGGACTATACATTTAAAATATATGGCAAATTTATTTGTGTCTAGCAATTTTTTTATAAAATCAATACATTTCCTATTCTACATTATAAGGTTTTCTATTCACGGTGTCATACAAAAAAAGAAAATATGATTTTGGTGTACAAGAAACAAATAAAATTGAATTCTATTCGGTAAAACCCGAGAATAACATACACAGAAAAGCGACAATAACTGTTCATCCTTTGAAATTTGGAGAGAAAAATATTAAGATCTTGAATTTAACATATGAGACGGATGGCCGGTATAATACACTGAGAAAAAATGAATGGAGCGTAATAAATGCTATACACTGATAAAAAATATTGTATTAAAATTTAAAATATTTTACCTTATCATGCATAAAATTTATATAATAAAATATTGGTTTTTATTACAGTAGTTTATGCCATGAAAACTTTTAATTTAATATCTGCGCAAATTAAAATAAAAAAAAAATGCTGATCTACTTTTCCCGTTATTCGACAATTTCACATTACTCATGCGCGAAAAAAGCGCGGGACTTTTAAATCTAGTAATTTTCCATACAACTTATTTATTCTATCTCTCTCTTATCCTCGCCTTGCAACTGTTGGGTTGGCTACGACGATTACTCCCTGTCATCGTTACTTTAAACAAGTGTCATGTAGTGTAATCAATATATGTTTATTGTCAAAGCTACAAGAACTTATAGACAAACACTTATAAATATAATTATTATGTAGTACTAACAATTACATGCATAAAAATTTAAAAATTGTATAGAAACGTTAAATATAAAATTAGAGGTTAATTACAAATACAAATACGTAACACAACATCGATAAAATTATATAAATACAAAAACATGTACGTTCAAACAGTCACAACGATTTAAGAGTCATTGTAAAATTCCGTCAAAGCATAATATGCTTTTGTCATCAACATATCTCTAGGCAGTATTTTAAATGTTGTGACCGTTTTCGTCGATTTAATATCATTTGGCAACTTATTGTACATTTTAATCCCATTATAAATGAAAGAGCCCCTTACCAGTTCAGATTTGGGTATGGGCAACCGCAGGTTGTCAACTTGTCGCGTTAGCCGAGCGTTAGTATTGGCATAGTTCGATTTATTTTTATGTATAATACAAGTGGTTTCAAGAATGAACAACGATGTTAATGTTAAAATTGTATGTCTAATAAAATGTGGCTGACATGACTCAAGCTTGTTCATTCCACATAAAAATCGTATTGCTCTCTTTTGCAGACAAAAAACAGTATTGAATAATTCGCGGCTGCAACCTCCCCAAAATGCAATTCCATATCTCAAATGGGACTCAACTAGGGCGTAATACACACTTTTTGCTGCCTTAAAACCTAGTTCTTTTGCCACAGTTCTGACTGCAAAACATCCAAAAGAAAGTTTTCTGTTTAGCAATTCTATATTGTTTCTAAATTTCAAATTATTATCTAAATTAATTCCCAGAAATTTTATTGTGTCAGTACATTCAATAATATGACTTCCCAACTGAATATTTGGTAGGGAACATTTAAGGGTTAGCATTTTGGTTTTTCCCATATTAAGACGCAAATAGTTGGCATCGCACCATGCTTTGATTTTCTTAATGTCACAGGATATGGTGTTGTATAGGACAGAAGTGTCATTGCTGTGCCATAAAATCGTAGTATCATCTGCAAATAGAGTGAAAGTACCTGCAATTTCAAGTTGAGCTAAGTCATTCACATAAAGGAGAAATAAAATGGGACCTAACACAGAACCCTGAGGGACACCCCAACTAATATCTAAAACTTGAGAATCCTGAGACGCTCTTACCATTTGCTTACGTTCTGAAAGATAAGATTTTACCCAACTCAGCGCTCCGTTTTTGATCACGTAAACTCGAAGTTTATCCAACAGTACTGTATGATTGATGCAATCGAACGCCTTAGTTAAATCACAGAATATCGCCGCTACAGAATCGTCAACATTAATTCTAGAATAAGCATGTTCAAGATAAGAAAATATCGCATCAGAAGTACTTTTGTTCCTTTGAAAACCAAACTGTTGTGTTTCCAGAAATTTGTGAGTTTCTAGATAATGAATCAAACGTTTTTTTACAACTTTTTCAATAATTTTGGCCACTGTAGGAATGAGAGATATAGGCCTGAAGTTCGAAGGATCGTAGTTACTGTCGCCTTTATGTATGGGAACAATAACACTGGTCTTAAGAAATGACGGAAAATTTGATTCGACGAAACTTTGGTTGATCAGACTAGCAAGGACTAACATTGCTGATTCAGGAAGGTTTAGGATAACTCTAATAGAAATATCATCATAACCAGCAGTATTTTTGTTTTTAATATCTGAACATATTTCCATTATTTCAAAACATGTTGTAAAACTTAGAATAAAGTTGGAGTTAACATGGGTATTTTTTAAATAATCTAAAGGATCAACTGACGATCTGAAATTATTAGTCAGATTTTCAGCAATTGAGCAATAATACTGATTAAATGTTTCTGAATCGATGTAGTTCTTAACGGATTTGGAATTTTGTTTATTTTTCAATTCATTAATAATATTCCAAGTTTCTTTAACTTTATTATTAGATTTTTCAATTCTAGAATAATAGTATATGTCCTTAGCTTTTTTAATAACAGCCCTATATATTTTCCTGTAATGGAGGTAATAGATTAAAAAGAATTCGTCTTGGACATATTTTTTAATGTAATGGAGGGATCGCATATTTTTTGCTGAACACCTTATGCCTGAGGTCATCCAAGGTTTTTTATTTTTTATATTAATTTTTCTAATGGGAAAACTGGATTCAAAAAATTTGCACAAATTATGGTAAAATGCTTTAAATGGATCATCAGACAACATACAGCTATGCCAATTAAAATTATGGCTGCTTAATCTAAATTTATCATAATTAGGTTTGCTAAACATACGACCATATCTGAATTTCATTTGCCTAAGCTTCGTATCGAGAGGCGTTGAGCACAAAACAACCTCATGATCAGATAACGAGATGGAATGGACTGAACACAGAATATTACTGACCAGAAAAGAGGAGCAAAAATAGTCAATCAACGTTTCACTGTTATTAGTAATTCGAGTAGGATCTTTGACATGCATATTTAGATTAAAAGATAATAAAAGATGAGAAAGATTTATTATATTATTATCATTTTGAACACGACAATCCATGTTAAAGTCTCCGGTCAAAATAATTTTAGATGAACTTAGTATCTTAGATAATAAGCATTCCAATTTATTCAAAAATATTGGAATACTGGTGCTTGGAGATCTGTAAATACAAATTATGAAGATATTTAACTTTTTAATATTAATAATGGAAAACTCGAATTGTTTCTCCTCAGCTAAATCTTGGTATTTTACTTCGTTAAACTCCAAACTGTGAAAGAGGGAGTCCTGTATTAATACTGCCGTCCCTCCGTGTTCAAACATCTCTCTGCAAAATATACTAACCAAATTATACTCTGGTATGCACAGATGTTCATGTTTTTCTAGCCAGTGTTCTGTGAGCAAAAGAACTAGCGGAAAATGAAACTGTTCCATTAACATAAATAACTCATCTATCTGTATGTGGTAGGGTAGCCAGTGACACTTTTTTGGTACACATTTGCACAAGGCATTTTTGAATACGTCGTCGTCGAGAGCTACAGTAAACGCCAAATCTAAAGAACCAAGGACGCGCATTTATAATGCTACGAACACGCCTACCGATGAATAGAATTGGTAGCTTACCTAAAAAAATGTAAACCAGGGGCGCGTATATTTTAAGACATAAAATAAATGGAAAATAGTGAATACTTGTTCATACATATTGTTTAGTGTTATTATTAGTACATAATTCTATAGTCAATTAAAAAATCATTATTTTTAAGTAAGCCGACTTTAGGTTAAGGCTGTTCTACCGCTTTCCGTTCGGTATTTATATAAAATTCTGTTACGGTCAGAAAATTATCCTTATTCAAATAAATTAAATTGTGGTAAAATTATATACTGGTCAAACGGGTCGTACTTTCAAAAAAAAGTTATTTAAAACATTACAATAGTTATACTAAAAACGAAAATAATTCTACAAAACATTTTTATCTGAAAATCAATCGTTTATGCAAAAATTGTTTCACATTTTGAGAATAAAGGCATTAAATTAAACCATTTAGAAACACTTGAAATAAATAGATTTAAAAATTCAAATATCCTCTTAAGTGATCAATTAGATATTAATAACTGAGCTTAATTAAATCTCTTTACCTGTTCTTAGTTTTCTGTGAGATAATCCCGGTAATGATATCTTAAGAAGATACATTTTAAAAATTTAAATATAAAATATTAATCAAAAATGAAATACATATATATGTGTGTAAAATATAAAAAAATATGGAAAACTACGCAAGTTTAATTGCAAATAAACTAGAGTATGTTTACCTGTTGCTTGTGCAGTTTGAAGTTTGATATCGTCTAAAGTAACTCCTTCCTTGTTTTGTTGCATCAAAATATTTAAAAACATTGTATATTACTTCACGACTTTGTCCGTTAATAACAGATCTGCGCTTTTTTTCACCCACAATAGAAGACATTATCAAAAATAAAACCAGTCACTTTAACCAAAACACAGAAACAAACAATGATCTAGTCGTTACGCTACAAATTGTGAATGGGCATGGCGATTTTTAAGTAAACGAACTTGACCATTTGCGCTGATTCTTTAGATTTGGCGTTTACTGTACATAGCTGCAGGGACTAGCAAAGTATTTCCATGTTTTACAAGGTAAGAATGAACGAAATATTTGTAATTTTGCCTCCCGAAAATAAAATATTTATTTGTTACTGAGGAACATAACTTCGTTAATTTGAATTTTACTCATCACAATATTATCCAACTCTACTTTTTCTCCGAGTTGATGATTTAAGGGTCCCTAAATATGTAAAGAATCTTTGTAAATTAGCCTATTAGTGTTCTATTATTACCTGTGTATCTATAATTTCATTCCTAGAATCCTCACATCTTACTGCTATGTCGCTTAAAAGTGTATGAAGACAAAAACTAAATTTTTCTGCTACTGGAATTCCTAAAAAAAAGAAGATTAGGAATAAACATCAACAATGAATAACAGATATGAAAATCACATTTTCAATTATTAGTTATAGTAGTGATACTGTTTAAATAATTAGGAAACCTTATCATTTACAAAACTTTAGATGTAACAGGAGGTTGGAGAAATATTATGTCTATGTACCAATAAATTTAAATTTTAATACCAAATGTCTATCTTTACTTTCCTATTAATCCCATCTCTATGTGTATATTGTGGAACAGTGAAATAGAAAACCAATTAGGGAAATTTTCTATTAATCCCATTTGTGTGTATTGTGGAAGAGTAAAATAGAAAAACTATCAAAAGTCTGTTCTTTATTTTAACAATCCTTGACAATACATGATGTGGCCTGGCAACGAAATAAAAAAACGTAGCATCGATTAAAATTTACTGATTTCTTTTTAAATTTTTGTAGTTATCAATGTGAATTTTAAATAAATATTTAACTATGTATAGTAACAATTCCTATTCTGTAATTTCTTTACTTAGATAGGTGGTTAGATTTTATAAAATAAAATGCAAATATAAATCTGTAACTCGGAGGTAAACTGCACTATGTAGACATAGTGCAGTTTTATAATTTTTATTTTTAAACTCGGCTCATTTCCTTTCCAGGGATATACTACACCATGTGTTAGTGAGGTCAAAACAAAAGTTAGTCCAAAGAATACAACACTATATTTAATAAACTTACGAGGTAAACAACACCATGTGCACATAGTGTTTTTAAATCATGTTAAATTCTCTAAAATTTCCATGAGAACATAGAAATTATGGAGGTATATGACACTATGTCAGAAAATCAGAACATAGAAATATGTAATAAAAAACCCACAATTCATGCAATTTAAAAGTTTTATTAGTTAGATTAGTAAATAATACATAAATATTGTGATAATAATTGGGTGTCTTAACTGCATTTCTTATCGAAATATATTAATGTAATTATGGAGCCCAAAAAGTGTCCAAACAACATTCAATCTGCTCTATTGAAAAGTTGACTAGAATGACAGTGCAGTTTACCTTTGAAGTGCAGAAATATAAACCAACAATAATAAATATTTAAACATTAAATGTCCTATTAAATACATAATTAAAAATAAGCTTCAAGTTTCAGATTTTAGTCTGTTCCTTAGTAATTTTTGTTTTTAATAATATTTAATGTATAAATAAATTAGGTATATGTAAACAACTCATTTGAAATATAATTTTGAGTATATTTATCTGCAGTAAAATTGTTTACGACTCTAAACTGCATTTAGGCAATATACAGAGTGTCCTATTAGTGCGTAATTGTTCAACATTTCAATTTGTGTTATTAACACGCAAACAATTTCAAATAAAAGTTATATGGATTTAAAAACTTCATATTTTAAAAATATTTTGGATATACAGGGTGTTGCGTTTTGTCTGGCAAATAAAAATGTATATTTTTTAAATATAATACCCTGTATATTATTTCAGTTTTAGATTGGTTTGGTAATACTGTATTCAACCATAGAATTTTTTTTTAATATTACAGGTTTGCCAAGCAATTATTTATGAAATTAGAGAATGATGCTGCCCCCAAATTAAATTATTATAATTTAGGAAGGTTTACAAAGATTTTAAAATTGTTTAAAATGCAGACTTATAAGATACTAAGCCAACGAAGATATTCTTGTGCCAAATTATTGGTGTAAAATTGTTAACGTTAATTTTAATAAAACTAAATGGTTGATGCGGTCTTTATAGATAAAATTGAAGAATGGTGCGAAGATTTCTTATCGGGAAACATTAAAGCTTTAATTGTGGGTGATGTTAATATTGATTATTTTGTAGATAGTTTTTATAGCAAAAAGATAAAAAGTCTTATGGCACTGAATAACATGTAACTGATTATACCAGAATAAGTATGGACAGTTCGACATTAATCGATTATGTTTTATTAATTAATTAACTAGGTTACTTGAAAATTTTTTGTGATTTTTTAATATTAATTTCTCAATAAGTTCCACGGTTTACTATATATATATTTTATTGTATAAAACAAAATCTAAATATTTCAGAAACCTTATTTTTAGTTTTTTTCTACTCCATCTAATCAATAAATAATAGTATAATTCGAGAATTGTTGTTGAGGACTTACTTTCTCGTGAGGCCTCACATTTAAAAAAAAAAATCTCAAAAATTTGCAAGGTAAGGTATAGTTAAAAGTTCAGTATTAGATAAATAAGGACTTCAACTATTAGAAAAAAATTAATTTTAGTCATAATCTAATAACTTTTTTTTTAACATTTGAGGCGAGAGGTGTGGCGAAAGGACCTCCTTAAGTTTGATTTCAGTCAGACAAAGATTTTATTATTTAGCAATGACTTTTGTTTATAAGACAAAAAATAAAAAAATTCCTGAGTACTTCAATGATTTTATCATCTACAATAATGTAACTACAATACAAGATCTGTTAATAATTTTTATATTCCACAAACAAGACTAGCTATAGCAACAAAATCTATTTTTTTTATGTGGATTACGTGAATTTAATGCTTTGCCTAGTGAAATTAAAACGAGTGCCTCTCTACCTCAGTTTAAAAAATGTTTACTACAATTTACTTCCAGTCCGTAAATTAAATTAACTAAATTAACTTTGTATGTTTACTTTAATATTTATTTATTTTAACTTTAGTACTAAACGTCTTACTTTTATTACTGATTTTATTACTAATTCTATGAAGATTTTATTTTATTTATTCAACTGAATTTGTGCAGACTGAAGATAATATGTAATATTTTTTAAAAACTACTATGTATTAGGACTTCCTATATTAAATAAAGATTCTATTTTATAACGAAGTGGTAACAAGACTGATTTATTTTATACAGAGTGTCTTGAAACATGTCCTAAATAGGGCTAATTTTAAGTTCCATTTATTCAATTTCAAATGCAACCTCCTGCACGACTACAAATAAGCCAGCATTCACCAAAATATATTGGGATTAAGTGTTACAATAAGTTCAGTAACATATTAGAAGATACTACAGATTATCATCAAATTAGTCGTAATGATTTAAGAAAACATCTTAAAGATTTTCTTGTAAATAATTTATTTTATAGTATAGAAGATTTTTTGAACTTTTAAACTAATCTTAACATGAATTGTCTATTATATATATTTTATTTTTTAATATATTTTACTTAACACTTTTTTGACTAGTCTGATAGGATTTTACATTATGTACCTAGTGTCTTTGTATAGTGTATAATTCTCAAAGATGAATAAATTCTATTTCTGTATATTATTTTAGCATAAAATTCCTTATAAATGTACACATCCAATGACACCAACATGTTAGCCAATAGCACATATACCCCATCAGTGCGTAATTGATTGATGACTGTTTTATTAATGAAAATATGAAAAAACAAATAATATAAAAGTTGTATGACCAGGTTTAATAAATATTCTTAAATATACAGGGTGGTCCATAAACAAGGGGCTGGCCAAACCTATACATTGTTAAAGATAGTTATACATATTTGATTGTTTTCACATCATCAAACTATTTTAATAGACTTCATTTGTTTGCTATGCTGTATATAAAGTATGTCAAAATGCTGAGTAACGATTTTCTCAATTTTTTTAAATGGAATACCCTATATGTTATACCACCAATTAATTAAAATTTTTTTTAGGCATTTAACACATATAAAGGCTTGTTTTGAGGGTAAATAAATTTTTGTATCAATTTCTTACAGTTTGTGTACAATAAATTAATTAATTGCCTTATCATGGGTTCATAGCTCAGCCATGGATTCATACCCCAGCCCTGGATTCATAGCCCAGCCTTAGAATGATTACCGCCCTCAAACTCATGGCTGGAACTTGTGGCACACCAGTTAATTTTATTTGGAGAAAAACTAAGATATAAAAATACAGCTTGTAATTTTTTAGTATATGATTTCTGTGAAACATACTTTTCAAGCTGAACCCACTACTTACTTGTCCTAAAATAAAATAATACTATTATTTCTGATACTATTTTCATTAAAACTTCAACCTAATTAACCCTTTAAAACCTATTAAAAGGTGTGATGCAGCGAATACCTAATATTTATTATATTAGGTGGTTTATTATATTATTTCTGTAAATCTTAGATAACAGTTTGATCATTTTAAATACAGTTAAATATTTTTAAACACATTTGTGCAATTTCAATTTTATATCAGTAACAATACTAAGGCTACTTTTTATTACTAAACACAATCATTAAAAGTTAGAACTCAAAATTTAATGAATGGTAATAAAAAAAATTATATTATACAACATTCTTGAGATAAGCCTGTTTGTTATGTTCTATAAAAATTAAATACTAATTTTCATAAATGGGATAGGTATACCAAACACAAAAAAAATAATATTTGCCTATAATTATATAGTTCGAAGTTAATGTACTTAATAGAAAGCAAAAACCCCAATTTTGTGCATTATTTGTTTTCTCTTGTTTAGATATATTAGTTTATACTAACTATCAGTTGGATTTAATTTAATTTCATCCGGCCATTGTGCCTTCTCGATCAGTTTAGCCAGCTTAAGCAAGTATGGTAATATTATTTTCTTATGCTGAAGACCACTTTCCAAAAAATATATTCCCAAAGCTATAACTGCATCTTGGTGTCTGCAATTTATTATAAAAGTTCCGTTTTGTGGATCTGGCGGACATAGTGAGAGCAAAGTTTGTACCTAAAACGAATATTTTGTTAAAATTAGAAATGATCAAAGTACTAAAATCCATTTATTTCAAGGTAAAGACTTACTTTATTCCAAGGGGCGCCTTTTATATTGGCCAGAGATCTGGCTAAATGTTGAACTGTTTTATGGAAAAACAGTTTGTCGTCGCGAATCATTTTGTATATTTTGAAAACATTTGTTTTTATTTTATAATTATTATAACCAAATTTAAAGGAGAAGACACCACACAGTTCAACAAATCTTCCTTTGACTGACTTTTGACAACTACTTGACACTCTTGACCTTGATAGTCTTGACACTGACAAATTGAAAAACGATGACAGATACTTTCAAATGAACAAAAAATCGATAATTCGATTATTAACTTGTATGAATATATGACGAAATTGTATAATTTAAATACATCGAATAGATATATTATTTAAAATAAAAATTTTCTTCGTCAGCTGCTGCTTAAACTACAATACAATACTACATGGAAAAGTCATTTTTGTAACGAGGAAACCCCTCAACCGGTGTATGTTGTCTATTCATATAAAAACGATTATTCCACAAGCCTTTCGGAAGTTTGAAAAACATGTTGGCTAACCTGATATGTAATGCATGTGTAAAATATGTAAAATGTGTTGCCTACCTTTGATCGTTTGCAAATTACATCCAAGAAATGTAAGAAAAATATAATAATAATCAATTAAGTTCAAAACCAATATATTTTTGAAAAATTTCAGTCCAAAAATATAAGTTTAATTGAAATACATTCATACGCAATTTCAAAGGTAAGTCTGAAAATAAAGGAATAAATCTTAAAGAGTATTTTATAATATTTGACATTGAAACTTCAGGTTAATTTTGAAACATGGATTTTGATTCTGATGAAGAAAATGTTATGGAAGAGGATTTCTATTCGTTTTTAAACATCCCTAAAGAGGTATATATACAAAGAGCAGATAATTTATATTTTGTATTATAATGATTAAATATTCAAAACCATTTATAAAATAACCTAAATATTTAATCATATGATGGCAATTTTAGGCTTCCAAGGAAGATATAAATAATGCTTATAGGCGACTTAGTAGAATGTATCATCCTGATAAACATGTGGATCCTGATCTTAAAGCTAAAGCAGAGACTATGTTTAATAAAATTAAAAAGGCATATGAAGGTAATTATTTTAACCAAACTTTAAACATCAACTATTTATTTATAAATACTTTTAACCACTGATCTGTGGGTTTAACAGTTAACTCTTTAACGCTAGAAAGATAGGAATACACTTAGGATAAACACAGTGTTGCCAATATTCCGCTTCGCATTATTCTCGCTGGATTGGTATATTAAAACCATTAGAATCCACTTAAAAGCACTGAACACCCCGCTAAAAGTGAAATTATGCGTAATACAGCGACAGTGTACAGGGATCTTGCCAAAATTACAAATACAGATGACAAAAATCAGGCTTGAAAGGGCAACAAATGAATAATAAAATCATTGAAAGATACATGTGGACAAAATAAAATATATAGGGTCAATATGGGTAATTGGAAACAGGGGCGATTGAAAACACCTTTAATAAATGACTTAAAAATACACTTGGAAGCAGTGCATTGTAAGCGATAGATTCTCAAGGGTTCTGTGGGAATCATGCCATTTTCCCTTGCACTCCAGAACTGTTTGTTTACAAGCTGTTGTTAAAGCAATTTTTTAATGTTTTTAATCCTGACTGTTGGTTTTAATAGTGTTTAAAAAATTGAAAATGTTGGCGACATTTCAGGTAAATTTTATATCCATTCTACGACAGGCTATTTATAAGAGATTAATCCATCTGTAAATATTACTTTTGAGGTTATTTAACCTATTATGGTTTTTTGGGCTGTGTTTACATTTCCCCTGAACAAACCTCGATAGGGGGCAAATGAAACCACCAGCTGGGGGTAAATGAGAAAACCACAGAAATGGCTGATCTCTTCCTTCTTTTCTAGATCTGTGCTACGTCGTATCTAATAGAATATGCCAAATAACTATGTTAAAAAGCAGGACCCACCCTTCTATACTTTAGAAGATTTGGCCAGTGCTGTTAATGATGTTATAGAGAATAAAAGAACATTATCTGTTATTTTTAATAGGATTAATAGTAGAAAAGTACCAATTGCTCTGTTGGTCCCAATTTATCAAGTAATATGAGACCAACCTGTAATGTTACACAATTTTTAGACAATATTTCAGTTCCAAATACATTTTACTTTGCTCCAACAGATATTTCTGAAATTAAAGAAGTTTTACTAAGGTTAAAAATAAAAACACTGCAGGATGGGATGAAATGTCAATTAAAATATTTATAAATCTTGAGGAAGTCATGTGAGTTCTATCTGAAGCTATTAATATTTCATTTCAAACTGGAGTATTTAGCACCTGTCTAAAATTGGCAACTGTTTTGCCTATTTATAATGGAGGTGAGCAAAATGACCCCTCCAATTTCCGACCTATTTCATTATTACCAACATTATCTAAAATTATGGAAAAATTAGTAAAAAAACGTATGTTAGAATTCCTTGAGGCACACAATCTTATATCTGCTATACAATTTGGGTTTCAATCTTCCAAAAACACTACAGATGCTATATTTAATTTGCTTGAGCGAGTGCTCTTAAATCTTAATGCCAATAATGTTTCGGCGGCGGTATTCTGTGATTTATCTAAGGCGTTTGATTGTGTCAATCATGAAATTTTATTAAAAAAAGTTGGAAATATATGGGTTTAGAGGTGTAGCATTGAAATGGATAGAATAGAGTTATATCTAACTGGCAGATATCAGAGAGTATTAGTGAAAAAACAAGCTTCCAGCAAAACACATATTAAATGTGGTGTTCCCCAAGGGTCCGTCTTAGGGCCCTTGCTTTTTCTTATTTATTTTAACAACTTAACAAATATTAATATGAGGGGATTTTTTTACATTATTTGCTGATGATATAACAATTTTGTGGGAATCAAGTGATGAACAGGAATTAACAGCTATAATTAATTCAGATATAACTGAGGTTAAAAATTGGTTGTGATGCTAATTATTTAACATTTAATATCAATAAAGGGGTGGGTTGGCTCAGTGGTTAGAGTCATGACTTTGAGATCGGAAGGTCTCAGGATCGAATCCCACCGTTGGCCGGGATTTTTTCATTTAATTTAATTATTTAAAATTAATTCTGATGCCTTGGTAGGATTCCCCACTCGACCATTCACTGTTGGGTTCTAATTAACAGTGCTGTTCCTAAAGTGGCGCTGGGAAACAGTAACAAAGCCTACACAGAACACGAGGCTAATAACCATAGCAGTTGATGCCGATGACACAAAAAAAAAAAAAAATAATAAAACCAGTATAATGACTTTTAAATGTAAATTAACGATTAAAAATAATGCGGAGACCAAGTTTCTGGGAATCTACATAGACTTCAATCTTAAATTTGAACGTCATATAAACTACTTAACTAAAAAGTTATCATCAGGATGTTACGCCATTAGATCTGTGGCACACAATTTGAATTTTGCTGTGGCAAGGAATGTTTATTTCTCTCTTGTGGAATCGCACCTACGTTGTGGAATATGTTTTTGGGGCTCAGCGTCACATGAATCGCTTAATAAGATATTTATTCTTCAAAAGAGGGCAATAAGAAACATGTGCAAAGGTTCTGCTACTACATCGCACAGTGGCGCGGAGCGCCACTGTGCCACCCAAATTACTCTACGACTCACAGGATTGATCCGTTTTAGACGTGCGTCACCTTAAAATGTTCGTCTTGAGTTTGCCTATCCACCCCTTGTTCCAGGATTTTTGATTTCGAATTTTATTTTTCTGTAATTTGTGTCCAAAAATTTACTTTCAAGGAAAAATGGCGATTTTGGGTGCAAAAGTCATCCTAGCGAACGCAACATTGAGTTTTTACAAAACTTTTTTGAAGGAAACTCTTCCTCTTGACAACCCTGTGTACGTCAAATTGCGAGAGAAATTGGCCGTCATGCCTAAAATTGTTCCTCAAAAATCTATTGGAACAAAAATCTAAATTTGTTTCAATAAAAAGTGTTTGTAATCAATCCAGCAATACGTACAAATTTTCTCACTAAATTAAATGGCCAAAAATATCCTCAAACATTCTGAGAAAATTTGTACGTATTGCTGGATTGATTACAAACACTTTTTATTGAAACAAATTTAGATTTTTGTTCCAATAGATTTTTGTTCCAATAGATTTTTGAGGAACAATTTCCTTTCGCATCAATAGTTTTGGATCACTATGGTCGTTTTTAGGCATGACGGCCAATTTCTCTCGCAATTTGACGTACACAGGGTTGTAGGGGTTGTCAAGAGGAAGAGTTTCATTCAAAAAAGTTTTGTAAAAACTCAATGTTGCGTTCGCTAGGATGACTTTTGCACCCAAAATCGCCATTTTTCGATGAAAGTAAATTTTTGGACACAAATTACAGAAAAATAAAATTCGAAATCAAAAATCCCGGAACAAGGGGTGGATAGGCAAACTCAAGACGAACATTTTAAGGTGACGCACGTCTAAAACGGATCAATCCTGTGAGTCGTAGAGTAATTTGGGTGACACAGTGGCGCGGAGCGCCACTGTGCATCGTGCAGGCCACTTTTCTTACAATATAAAATCTTAACCTTATATAATTTGTATATACTGGAAATGGCCTGCTTGATTTTCAGAAAATATAAGAATTATATTCGTGAAGCTTCTGTGCATGGCACTAGATTGACTTTTTTTCCTGCCTCTCCCAATACCATCATCTGCTCTTATACAAAAATCAATTATTTATAATGGTAAAAAAATATTTAACCACTTGCCTATGGAAATAAGACAGATAGGTACTGAGAAGAATTTTAGGAGGCAACTTAAACGTTTTCTGTTTGTGAAGGCTTATTACACGCTGGCGGAATTTTTTAATGGCTCATAAGAGTATAAACATATACAAATATTTTCTTTTCTTATTTTGTTTTCTAATCATTTATTTTTATTTTAAACTGTTTCAAACTACTTGACCAAAGCATTAAGGCTTTGTAAGGTTTTTAACTGGCTGATGACAAATATCTTTTAACTTTTTTGACTTTTTAAATGTACCTTAGGTTTATATTGTTTGTTTTTTTTTTCTTGGTTTTGAATGTACTATTTCTTTTTATATGCACAACTCGATTTTAAAAATTCTTATCTTATGTATGTATTTTTTGTATCTTTTGTATTTGTTTTCTTTTTTACCAGCTTTGTCAATTAGTTTTTTTACTTCAGACAATAAAGCACTTTTTGATTGATTGATTGATTGATTGATAAAATGGGGGCTGGTGTTTCCCCAACAGTGCATATGATGGTTGAAAATCACATTGTTTTTTTGCTTAAAAATGCGAGCAAAAATTGGTTATCCCCATAATAAGTCCTTTATTTCATTTGCATGAAAAGTTACATGTATCCAATTACCCCCGAAAACCGATTTTTTCTTAAAAATCCTGGGGTAAAAGAGAACGAGCAATATTAAGGAAAAAACAACTAATATGTCAGTTAATCATATAAAAATATGTTGCTCAAGGTATAACTTTGCAGCTATGGCATGTATTTTGCGCTAAAAAACAGTTATTTGTTTTAAATTCGTATTAAATTAGCCAAAAACATGAACTAATCGTTTCCAATTACCCACATTGACTACTAACAAACATTTAAAATAAAACAATTTGGATTAATGTAAGAAACAATTTAGTATGTACTAACCTTATATAATAATGTAATAATATGGAACTTGTACTAACTACTCAAATAAAAATATGTTATTGACCTGTGAGATTCAGACTTCTCACAAAATTTAAAATCGTCTTGTGACTTACGAGATTGGTATTGGGTAGAAACCCTGTTCCAAATTTTTTTCTAGAAACTTTTTAGTGAGTTTAAAATGAAGTTCCAAAAAATTTAGACCCATGATATTTGTATTTCTATCAATTCTAGTTAGTGGATTAAAGAAATCACATTTCTGATTATTAACATGTAAATTTGCTGAATAAATATATTTTTGAACTTAAATTTTAGTACTGTCTGACCCACACCAAAGAGCTATTTATGATTCGTTGGGCACAAAGGGTCTAGAAACAGAAGGCTGGGAAATCGTCCAAAGAACAAAAACCCCTGCAGAAATTAGGGCTGAATATGAGCAACTGGCTGAAGAAAGAGCTGAAAGACAGAAGAAACAAGCTACTAATCCTAGTGGCAATATTACTATAGCTGTAAATGCCACTGACATTTTCAATCCTTATTATGATGAATTTTTAGAAGATGAGTATGAAAGGTAGCTACATTTTTTTTATTAATAAATATAAAAAATTAATATTTCCTAATGTTTAGCGATTTCATATCAAATATCCCCAACATCGAAGTGTCGTCAATGCAATTTAATCAATCTGTAGATTTCCCTTTGACACAAAAAGATACGTGTACCCTCTCAGGGCAGCTACATACTCAGAATGGTACAGGAGGAGGTGGTATTAATTTAAGCTGGCGACATATTTTTTCACATAAGAGTTGGACAGAACTTGAAATGACTGCAGGTAAGACAGTTCATTTTATTATAGTTCCAATTTAAATTTTAAAACATTTGCTTAGTCTTAATTTTAAACCTATTGTTCAAATTCTTTGAATCACCCTCGAGTAATAAATTATTTCGTTGTAAATTAATATCACAATTTAAAAAGGTTCTGAACCAGTACTTTAGCTTTGATAACATGTGTTATGGCTATGAAATCGGTGTTTAAAGAGCAGCTATTTTACGAATTTACGTTGCACCCTTTCAATTCTATTGACATGACAGGTGTAAGTAGGTTGCCAAATAACAGAACAGTATTCCAGGATACTTCTTACCAGGCCATTGTAAAGTGTCATGATTGCTTTTGTGTCATTCACATACCTAGTATGTCTCTTGATGAAGCCAAGCATTCTAGGGCAACATTGGAATTTTCATAGCCAGTGGCGTCTCACCAACATGACGTTCAGTTTTAAATGTTGCAGTAATAAATACTCTAAAAAGACTAAAAATCAATATTCAGTTGAGAAATTTATTTATAAAGTAAGAAAGTAAATTTTTCTTGTATTCGTGTAAACCCACTTTAATAAAGTGTACGCTGCTAAGCAACAACAAAGCGCAACTGAAATAAGAAGATAGGTGCAAACTGTAACTAAAAATGCGATAATCTTTTGTCAGAGGACTTGGGGTATTTCTATAACTCTACTATACAATACAAATACATATTTGGTCAAGCTTCGCATGAATTTAAAATAAATATAGCAAAACTCTTCATAAAAAGTCATCGTCAATATCGCTAAAATTTCCTATTTGGGGGGGGGGGGGGGGGGGGGGGGGGCGGGTAGGTAGGTAATATTTGCTATTTCTTACAGATATTTTAGCATTGTATGTTTTTAGGTAGTGGCCCTGCATTATCTTTTAAAGGTTTTAGAACATTAACCAGACGGTTTTTTTGGAACGGAGGTACTATTTTACAGTTTACTCCTGAAGGTATTAGGCCAGGAGTCATGTCAAGTAAGAATAAATTAATTTTGAGTGATACAAATATTTTATTAATTAAAAAAAAAATTGGTTTTTAGCGTTAGCGATGCAGGTCGACAAACATTCTGTAGGTTATTTATCCTATCAAGGTGGTGTGAGATCAGCTTTCACGACACAAATAATTAGGGATACAGGTAAATATTTTCAAAAAAGAATAATAATTAAGACATCCCATCTCTTCAAGCTTCTTAAGTCTTTAAACTTTTCATAATCCTGTCAGTGCTGAAAAGAAAAAATATATGAATATTTGTCGGAGTGTATAGTTCTTTTTCTTTTTAAATGTGCATGAGATCGAACTCTGTTTTTGTCATTATTAGGCATTCCAAACAAAATGGCTGCCCGTATGAAATGACAGGCACATAGGTTATAATATGGCAACACTGTAAGCCTGGTGGTTTGATAGGGTCAATGATATAGACAGTTATATAGATTGAGCATCCATGGTTTTAAAAATAAACATAAACTTATACCTTGAAGTAAAAATGTAGGCAATTATTTTTTTTTTTAAATATTCAAAGGCTGAAAATTGGTTTTAAAACACATTTTTGCTAAACTGATTCAAATTAGCCAGGCAATATGGCCGCTCGCAAACGATCTGCTTTAAGCAATCTATATAACTATATAGGTATCATTGACATATCTAAACTGTCAGAACCCACTGGTAGCTATTTGAACAGGTCATTGGAATGCCTAATGGCCTACTTCATAAACATTGTTGTGGATCTTTCTTTATTATTAAGTCTTTTTTATTTCAGAAAAAAATCGGTATAACTTTTCAATACAAGTAGGCTTACCTCATTCTTTTGTTCTTCTTCAGTACACAAGGAAAATGATGAATCAAGAACTAAAAATTAGGATAGCTGTAAAGTAAGTTTTCATATTAGAATTTTTTAACCTTGTTCATGTTTTTTGTTTTTAAACATTGTTTAATTTTCCCATATTTTAGAGCTGGTACATTTGGAGGTCTTCTAGAGTATGGTGCAGAGAAGAAGATTTCAAAACACAGTAATCTATCTTTTGCTGTAGTTTGTGGTATACCTTCTGGAGTTAAACTTAAAATAAGGTAAAATATTATTGAATTTGTTATTGCAGGAGTTTGATATCTTGTTTTAAAAAAATTAAACCCGCAGATAAGTTGACATATTTGCAGAAGCGTAACCAGAAAATGCATAAGGGGGTTTTGGGTTTTGAAATTAAGAAACAATACATATACTTATGAGATTGCAATTATTTAAATTTCCGGTTTTTTTTTTTTTTTTTTTTAATTATACTATATGATCAGCTAGGGAAGGGGGGTTAATCCCCCAAACCCTCGTGGTGGCTGGCTACGCCCTTGCATACTTGAGAATAATAATAATAATAATTATTATTATTCCTACAATCCAATTTTACAATATTGTTGTAATGAGTTATAAATACAAAAAATACATTAGGTGCTAGCTCCTGTACGTGTGGAAACAAGTATTAAAATACCAACTTAGATTTTATACATAAAAGATTAAAAAACTTATAATAAAAATTTGAGAATCTTATAATAAGGATATATGTAGAATTTGTTTCACGAGAAAAGAAGCCACCTGAAGTTGCATTTTGATAAAAGAAATTTTCAAATAAAAAAAATGCAAACTTACAATACTCTTATAGTCTCTATTAGTTATGTCATATAGAAAGGAATGATTACTTTTATGTGTTTTTATCGCATAAATCATTTAAATGGTCATTAAAGATGAAAAAACTGCGAAATGCTATTGAATTAGAGTTTTTTAATTATATTTCGAAAACGTAGCAAATTCAGGTAAGTATAGTTAATAGGATTTTTTTTTGTAAAGAATACGACTTCACATCAAATTATTTATTTAATTTTTTTATGTAAAAAATATTTATAAAAATAATTAAAAAGGAAAAAATCATTTTTTTTTACTTTCAAACGATATTTAGAAATAATAACATTAATAATGATGTCCAAAATAATATCGAAAACTTGGTAAGGGAACTAAGCACTTCTGAGCCGGTACACGTGCCACATTCATTTTTTACCACTCCTAAAGAGGTTGGGGAAACTATTAAACGTCTGAAAAATAGAAAAGCTCCGGGCCCGGATGACATCAGCAATATATTACTCAAAAACCTCTCAAGAAAGGGGGTTGTACAACTTAACTATATAATAAACGCAATCTTCAGGCTGCAACACTGTCCTAGCAGCCTGAAGATCGCAAATATCATCCCAATATTAAAATCGGGAAAAAACCCGAAAAACATTGACAGTTATCGACCCATTTCGTTGCTTAACACAGTAGCAAAAATAGTCGACAAAATCATACTAAACAGACTCAACAAAATAGAAGACGAACTAAAAATTATTCCGCGGGAACAGTACGGTTTCAGAAGCGGACACAGTACCGTGGCACAGGTTATTAGAATCGTACATAGTGCCAAAGAGGCAACAAATAATAACCTGCAAACGGTACTAGTGGCTTTAGATAGTGAAAAAGCTTTCGATACCGTCTGGACCTGCGGATTAATTTACAAAATGCTTGCGAGTGATTTTCCCGTTCATATTGTAAAAATAATACAATCATACATAACGGACAGACAATTTAATATAATAATAAACAAGACAATAACAGGACCCTTCACTGCGCAAGCGGGAGTACCCCAGGGCTCAGTACTTTCGCCCCACTTGTACACCATTATGACCCATGACATGCCAATGGGTGATAATGGGGTTACAAACGGCACTGTACGCCGACGACATCTGTCTTTTCGCGAATAACAGATCGGCAGAGATAGCAGTAAGAAAGCTGGACAACCATATAAGCAGGAAATTAATCCCCTATCTAACACAAAATAAAATGAAAATCAATGCTGCAAAAACTGAAAGCATGCTAATCACTAAAAGGCGAAGCCAGGGCATTCAAACCGCCCTGAGAGTCGGTGAACAAGAAATACCGACCACAAACAAATTAAAATACCTCGGCTTTCAGTTAGATAGGGGATTAACATTCGACCTACACATAAAAGACAGAGTGGCTAAAAACGACATAGCTATTAAAACTTTATATCCCATACTAAATAGAAGAAGTAAAGTCACTCTGTCGAATAAACTACTTATGTACAATACTATCCTACACCCCATCCTTACATATGGCTGTCCAGTTTATTGCTCTATGTCAAACTGTCACTATTTAAAACTGCAAATTGCACAGAATAGATGCCTTCGGCTGGCGCTGGGCTACGACCGTTATACCAGGATTATAGACATGCATAGACAAACAGACACACCAATGATTAAAGATTACATATTAAAAACAGCCGAAAATTTCTACAAACGGTGTCTTCCCGATGATGTCAGGGATAATATCCTGAACATTCACCGGGGAGATGGCGTGCGTAGAAAACACGGCTGTATACATGCAAAACTCGATATTTACAGACTAAGACGCTAGACTACACCATCCTTCCGTCCCTCCCAACATCGACAGAAATACTAAATAACAGCACTCCAAGACTAGATATTTACACGAACTAGTCGGACGGCAGACCGAACAATGAAACGACCCACAGAGCAAATTCAGCGAGCCATATACACTCGCAGTTTATGCTCTGGGGGTAGTTTCATCGATCACCAAGCCTGGGGGCTGTAATTTAAAACATAGACTATACAAGAGACCCACGTACATACAAGGACAACCCTGTTTTTTCTAGCTTTTTCAGGGGACAAAAACCAGAACAAAGACACGACAAATCCTCAAATAAATTCCCATTAATGATCCCAAAATCCAATAAAATCCCTTAATAATACCGTTCAGGTAAGGAGTAAGGGCTGCTATATTTGAGAGTAAATTGAGTCAAAAATAAATTTAATGGAGGGTTACACCTCCCTGGCCCTAAGTGCCCGCGCGAAAAACCCGCCGCACAGTGGCGCGGAGCGCCACTGTGCCACCCAAATTACTCTACGACTCACAGGATTGATCTGTTTTAGACGTGCGTCACCTTAAAATGTTCGTCTTGAGTTTGACTATCGACCCTTGTTCCGGGATTTTTGATTTCGAATTTTATTTTTCTGTAATTTGTGTCCCAAAATTTACTTTCATGGAAAAATGGCGATTTTGGGTGCAAAAGTCATCCTAGCGAACGCAACATTGAGTTTTTACAAAACTTTTTTGAAGGAAACTCTTCCTCTTGACAACCCCTACAACCCTGTGTACGTCAAATTGCGAGAGAAATTGGCCGTCATGCCTAAAAACGACCATAGTGATCCAAAACTATTGATGCGAAAGGAAATTGTTCATCAAAAATCTATTGGAACAAAAATCTAAATTTTTTTCAATAAAAAGTGTTTATAATCAATCCAGCAATACGTACAAATTTTCTCAGAATGTTTGAGGATATTTTTGGCCATTTAATTTGGCCAGGAAATCGCCAAATTCCAAAATTTCAGAAATTTTCCAAAAATTCTGCAAACATTCGGACATATTCCTTGGGTGATAGGATGAGTTTCTCGTAAAAAATATCCAAAAATGTGTAATTTTCGCCGTTTTTCTCTCGCAATTTGACGTACACAGGGTTGTAGGGGTTGTCAAGAGGAAGAGTTTCCTTCAAAAAAGTTTTGTAAAGACTCAATGTTGCGTTCGCTAGGATGACTTTTGCACACAAAATCGCCATTTTTCCATGAAAGTAAATTTTTGGACACAAATTACAGAAAAATAAAATTCGAAATCAAAAATCCCGGAACAAGGGTCGATAGGCAAACTCAAGACGAACATTTTAAGGTGACGCACGTCTAAAACGGATCAATCCTGTGAGTCGTAGAGCAATTTGGGTGGCACAGTGGCGCTCCGCGCCACTGTGCGCCGCTCGGGTTCGGTAGTGTGATATATTTAAATTATTATTTGACATGTAAATATATTTCTTTAATGTAAATAAAAGTTTTCTAAAGTAAAAAGTAAAAAAGATTAAATAAAACACACAACACGCATAGGTAAACAAGACATAATTTGGTTTCTGCGAATGTCATTGTTGCAACTTCAGCTGGCTTCTTTTCGCGTGAAACGCATTCTGTGTGTTTGTTAATAGTTTTAAATTATTTTAAATATAAATATTGTCTTCATTTCTTATTAAATAAACTGTCTCTGAAAATTTCTGACATTAAGCGGCACTAAGTTATAAATTTTAGGACCTAAATATGTTATAAATTTGACTTGCATCACGTTGAAAAGATGGAATTTTCAAATTATCAAATCTAGCTGTTAGTTTTTATTAGATTTATTCATATATGAGTTTTTCCCTAACTTTCTCTCTCAAGTGTTGTCTTCAAAAACAATAACGCAATCATCAGCATATGAAATAATGAAACCATTAACTTGTGATTTTAGTAATGAATTTAAATATTAAATAAATAAAATTGGCCCGAGCACAGTTCTTTGAGGCACTCACATTTAAACTTTTTGCTGCTCATTTAAGACATTGTTAAATCTGACCATTTGTTTTCTGTTAAATATATAATTTTTGAAAAAGTTCTAATACAAAAGTCGTTACTCCATACTGCTGAAGGGCATTTAGGACTAGTTCATGAGGTACTGTATCGAATGATTTTGCCAGATCCAAAAACACCCATGTCTAAAGAAAGTTTAATATGATTGACAAGTTCAAACATTGTGTCACAAGTACCTACCAAGGCAAGGTTGAAATCCAAACTGCTTATCACTTTAAATATTATTTTTAACTAGTTATTCAATAATTAAATCAATTTCCTTTATTCTTCTGAACGTTTCCCATCTTCCCCTTAAGGACGGGGTATCCCTGTGTATTAAAATTGTATGTGTAGACCAAAAGTTAAATCGACAGTTTTCCGAATATGTAGTGTTTAAAAATCTAATTTTTGGCCAAATTAAAAATAAAGGTCTAACTTAGGTCACCTTACTATTGAAAATTAATAAATTTATTATTTTCAATAAAAACCAATCATGTAAAATAACCCCCTTTTCTTTCATCTCAAAGGTGCCGTCTAGAATTATTTTAACCTCGATGTCAAACAAATAATAAAAAAAAATGTAATACGACCTAAGTTCAACCTTTACTTGGAATTTGGTACACTCAGAATATTTAAATATTGTATATTTTTCAAAACGTGTAGATATGAAATTTACTTTACTTTCTTTGAAAAAACATGTCAAAACGAATTTGGACCAAAAATGGCGTCTAATTTAACTCTAAATAAACCCCGAAAAATCAATAATTACTTCATGTAATGTAATAAAGATGGTGCTCCGATCGATAATATTTTGACTAGTATTTGATTATTTCCGTTTATATTAAGTGTGTTTACGGGGGATAATACTGCCTCTGATACTGTTTATATGATACAATTGGAAACGACCTTTTTTCATTGGCACTCTTTTTTCTGACCTTTTGACACGCGCCTATTTGTTATATGATGTATGATTATCGGTTATTTATCAACTAAAAGTATAGGAAATTAGTACATTGTGAATGATAATATCATTTTAATGCTATTTTTGAAACTAGTTCAAAAGTTGCATTTAACGATACTCAATGTTTCATTTTACCGTCAGTTTTAGTTTGACATATCCGTCATTTTGTGTTTACAAAGCTCAGTTTCTATTCGAAAGTAAGAGAAACAGTCAAAATAAAATGCGAAAAACACTTTTTATCAATTTCGTTTATGTCAACTGAAAGCGACAATTGCTGAAGACGTAACAAATAAATTAGGTCGAGAAATAAAAAAATCTATACTATAACATACCATATATTATACCTGTTAAAATAAATCAAAAATAAGAGAACATATCGTTGACGTATATACTTTTCCATCTGTGATTAGTGATTACCAATTGCAAATTACGTATGAACATTCTTCTGCGCAAAAAAACCATTATTTCAAGTACTTGTATCATTAAAGTCTATTAAATTATTATTTTTATAAATTTGCTAATCTTTGCACTTTAAGTTTCATTATATGGGGTATTTAGACATTTTAATCCTCGTCCTCTTCTATTTAAAATTATCTCAGGTGCCATATATTCCGAGTAAAATTTTTCTAATTTTTCAACCATATTTTAAAAAAAAATGGGTTGAATATGAATTTTTTCAACAAATATTGGATTTTCATCTCCAGTATATACTACAAAGTAGCACAATTTTCTTTGAGCTATACCTAGCTGTCCTTGAATCTAAAAGTATATAAAATCATTATTAGAAAATCAAACATAAAAAGAATATTAATATTGTAGTATCATTTCTAGCACATTTCTTAAAAATCATGAATTATTTTAACATATTGAAATTTTTCACCTGGTAAAAGTAGTTTTCTTTTAAATGAATGTCACCATCTTCTATTTTTAAGCATGGAAATGGGTTTGAATATTAGGTAATGTGTGCCAATAGAAAAAAAATACTACCTACCTTTAATGCAGGAAGTCGATGTCAATTTATCCAAAAATAAAACTGATTAAAATGTACAATGAAACTCACTAGGACACTTGGCACAAATAAATCAATTTTCTATTAAAGAAAATAACACTTATTAAAAACAAACAGCACAATAAAACACTTCAGAAACGTGTGATGTAATTTTGAAAACTAAATACCCGTAAGCTTGTTTGTAAATTTATAGACTCTTAACTCCTTCCCCCAGCCTTCATTAAGTATATTAAAAGTCGTGACGTCATATTGGCACAGATATACGGTAATGTGTTATTGACAATCAGGGAAATGTTTCTAGGAAATAACTACCTAAGATAAGATAAATGAATGTTAAATACCTACTCATAATATCTATTGTAGGGTTTTTGTACTTTAATAGGATAAATATTTATGCGGGCCTGGAAATTCCAGGAAATGACCGTCCAAATTACCCAAAAACATTAGGTTAGTACCAACATCAGATAACAGATAACTTCGGTATTTAACCAATTAATCACAATTAATATTCCTGAACATTCAAATGACAAAAACTTCCATCTTTAACCAATGAGAATATAGTTTTCATTCGATACTTCAAAATCACAATTTATTAATTAGGTAGAATAGTTTTAAAATATATTGCGAATTGCGACACGTCAAGCGTCCCACTCCGACTCAATGTGACGCAATTATTGTGGCAATATATTTTGATACGACTCTATATTCGTGACTTGAAATTATAAACATCCCTCGTATTGCTACCCGTATATAAACCAAATTATTTGTTTTAGGAAATATTTATATTTAATGTGAGGCAAGATATCGTTTTTGTTGTTGCCATCTGCATAATACCTACCTACATTCTTTACTTTGGTCCAGGAAACAAAGTCGAATTACGTTAAAAATAAAATGTAATAGCTAGGTAATACTTTATGAATAAAAGTATTGAAATAAAGTATGCTCATACTCCAAAATGAGTCCTACAGTTAACATTTTTATAATATTATAAATGGCATATGAAACGATTGGACCGTTTTCACAATCGCGAAATATTTTTTTTTATTTGGTAAAATCCCGGCAATTATTGAAAAATAGATTTTATGTTCAGGACTATTATTATGATCCTTCGAACTCAGTCTACTAAAAACCGGTTTATAATACAATATAATACAATATCCCCTAATAGCTAGTCGGTCGATATTTATAGTTAAGATTTCTGTAATAGTTTGCACTAATTCAATCTCTAGTCGGTAGGTAACAGCACCTCCTTGATTGAATCTAAATTGACATAATTTTGTTCAGAAATTCCTAGGAGACGCTGTCTTTAATTAGAATTTATATATTTCCAGGTTAACGAGGGCTTCCCAAACTTATTCGTTCCCAATTCATCTTTGCGAGGAAGTCATGCCCGCGCCTGTTTTCTACGCCACTGTAGTGCCTCTAGTTATATACATAGTTGTTAAAAAAGGTTTCGTCGAACCGTTTTTAAGGGACGAAAAAAATAAGAAAGTCGAGAAACAAAAACAAAATAATTTTAATAAGCTATTGGAAAAAAGGAAAGAAGCAATGGCGGCACAGGAACTGATGAATGCTACTTATACTAGGATAAGGGAGGACGAAAGCAATAAAAAAGGATTAGTAGTTATTAAAGCGATTTACGGCAGGATAATGAGAGGTAAGAACAAGTTATAAAAGTAATTGAAAAACACCAGTTACAAACATTTTCCATCATTATATCTTAACCATTCCTGAGGAATTTCTAATAAAAAAAGAACCGTAGAAATCGGACAACGTGGTAAAGAATTAAAATTGAACATACATAAAAAATATTCCAACGAATTGAGAACCTCTTCCTTTTTTTTTTGAAGTCTGTTAAAAATATTACTTGAGACAAAAGAACTACTTAAAAAAAAACTTAAATGGATTTGGGGATTTCAAGTATATAAATTAAAAAATCATTTTTCTTTTTTTTTTTCTTTTTTCCTTTCTTCTTTTTTCCATTGTGGAAGGTGTGAAAAATCGATGTTCCCTCAGTAAATTGTATCGATGTAAAAAAGTTCTCGATGGAAACTTAAAAATGAAAACAAACCATGAATTCAACAAGGTCTGACAATTTGTGCGTTGCATAAAATTGATAACAGTGTTGTCAGTTGTCCAGTTATAGCGACTTAAATAAAACCTTTTGTTATGAGTCCAAAATATATTTTTTTATTTTCTAATTGAAACTGACAAATGTTGCAGTCTCGTCGTATGCGCTTCCCACCCGAGCCCACACACGCACTCTTCCCAACAGGACACTTGTTCTCTCAAAACCTCACTTCATTACTCATTGCCTACATTTTTCTTCTCTTTATACTTATAAATTATAACAAAAATACAATACAAAAGAAAAATTAAAGACTACAGCACATTTTTGCCATTATAACTCGGCGGAAAATGAATCACGTTTTTTTTTTTTTATCATTAGCAATGATTTCTGCTTGAAACGCACGTACCGCCATACCTCTACAGAGGCTTATTTCACTCTTTCAGCATCCCTCTTGAGGGGTTCCGACAGGCTCCCCCAGTCAGGGTTGGATCCAGCCACTGCCTCCCCTCAATCAAGCTTGGGTTCCAACCTGCTGTCCTCTGTGATTCACATGCCGACATTGCAGTATCAATGGCTTATGGCTATCATTTGGATGCCCTACTCCTTCCCATTCATTCTACCCATACACTCAACCGTCTAAATGTGGCTTAAAATATTGGCAATATATTTTTTTATATCCCAAAAGCAACGGTCAAATTATCAATTTCTATTTTTCCTGTTTTCTTTGTAATCGTTAAGGAAAACTGACATGCCGCTATGACAAAAATGATCAACCTATTGAATTTTCAAAAACCGCTCTATTATCATGCATCGACTCCGGGATTCGAACCTTCTTCTGTCATATCTAACACCTCTAACAACTGCGCCGTAGACCACTAGACCACCTGACCCTTTCTGTATAGAGATGCAAAACTAATAGATCAATATATGTCATGTTTAGGTAATTGAAAGGTAACTTACGGGTCATTTAGACTGACTGCACCAACCATTTATTCATTGTTTGTTTCTCAGGGTGTGTTAGTTTATACAGTAAGTATTTTTAATTTTTTTATGAGAATGCATATTAAATATGCGCTCAGCCAAACGGTTAGCAATTTGTGTAAGAGGATGTTTACCTGCTCGAAGCATTCGTTTTATTGAATATAAACAATTTTCGAATGGATAAGCTGATATTGAAGGTAATACTCCAAACCTTTCTACATCCTCTACCACATGCTCTAAATCATGAACAATACTTGTTAGATATTGATTCCCCTATAACTCTTTATATTTAATAATAAAATCTTTAAATAATGATTTCCTGACATTTAGATGACAAAAGTACTTTTCTGATGAACAAATTCTAACGGCACAGAATAGTATCAAAAAATTTTCATAATATTTTGATTGTAAAAAATTAGGAAGCACAGTTAATCCATAGTAACTTAAAAAATTTCGAAATTCTAGTACTTTCCAGTGCGCAAATAACATTAATGAACGTGCACGATTACTTTCACTGGTAATTTTAATATTTTCTAATAATTTAGATATATCTGCTTGTTGAGCAAAAGTACATTTAGTTTCATATCCAAAGTCTCCAGTTTTCCATCCAGCTATAAGTCTTTTCATTACACCCAATTCTAAGGGATGCAGCGGGTCTGCTACAATAAAATCTTTAATCATATATATTGATGGTATATCAGTTAGAGCTGTTTCATATTTTTGGTGTTCTTGATAGTGTCTTGTTCGAAACATTTCATTAGTCCTTCTTGTTTGATTAATTTTACAGAAAGTTACACTTTTAGAGAGAAAAGAATATGTACCAATAACTGTGCATTTCTGGCAACCAAATTTTGGGTTAAAATACATTGTTCCTAAAATGAAAATAAATATATAATTAAATCAATTTATAACATTAAAAAATTATCAAACCCTTAATAAAGGCTTAATCTATTCACATCCGTTGTTTTATTAATGATCTTCAAGCCATTTTGTAGTAGTAGTATAATTTCTTCAACAAATGGAGTTAAATAAACCTTGGCATTATCAGGTTTTGAATCTCCATAAAATATACCAATAGCCATTGGATGAATGTTTGTATACTCATGTATGTTAAATAAAATAGGCCAAAAATGTTTATTCGTGCTCTTGTGAAGAGGTAGAATTGATGTTTATAGATATCTCAAGGTCTTTCTTAAAGTTTTTAAAGCAGCTCCGGAGACAAACTTCAAGTCCTTGATGCCAGTACAATCCAAAATTGCCAATTTTTTTAAAATTTACACATCTCGTCGTTTTCATGATTGTTCTAGGATTCGCATTAAGATTTGCATTGTAAATTTAAAAGGTTTAGTAATCTTTTTAATGCTGCTTGAGAGATATTATAATTAGAAGTCGATTTTCGTAATTCATTTGTAATGACATTTTTTTTATCCACTTCTAATTTATCATTACCAATTGGCTCCATGTTATCTCAATCATGTTCCACAGAATCATCACTTTCACTTGATGAGAGTGTCACATCATTATATTCAGTTAAATCTAACATATCATCATGATCACTATTATTTTCATTATCATTATCTTGATCATCACTATCTGAAAGAATATATTAACAAATTACATGTGATATACCTACCTAGTAGAGAAGTAATTATACATACCTTCGTCAGACAAAACCTGTTCGTTTTATTTCAAGCTCGTCATATTCCACATATCTTTATATTTCTTTATTTTTCGGTAGTAAGAACCACACTTTTTTCTTTTTCAAGTTTCTAGAAAAATTATTCATATTGACTGCGTTCTTTTTAGGACTAACTGTACTCTGTTAAAAAAACATTACCTTCCCTCACTTATATTACTCTTAGGTTATCCATATACTTGCGCTGATTTATTTTTGGTTTTTTAACCTTATCTTACCATTTTTTGACCCTTAGTTTTCCGTTTTTTTTTTTTTAAAGTAACATAATAGTAAGTAATTTAACGCAAAAAAATTAAATTTCCTTATTGTGACCTTCAATAATTATTTTTGTTTGTTACCATTATACTACGATTAAGTTACAGTTCATCAAATTTCTAGAGGTGTTCGACGCCCAGACAGAGAACGCGCTACGTGTGACTAAGATAGCTATTGTACAGTCTGCTAAACAAGTTATTTTAAATAGTTTTTAATATTTTTAGGTAATTAAATTTTAAAAGTGTGGAATAGTTTAGGGATTAAATTGGTCTGATTGGACTTTCTTAGAACGTTTTTAAAAGCAGCTAAAGATAGTATGTAGAATTGAAAATAATTATTATGCCATAAAAGGTGTTTTGGAATTCCTTCAACCTTTTGAAATTGAGTCAGAAAATATAAATTTTATAGGATAGCGGAAAATACCTATAATTTTTTTGTAGGCCTTTGTAAATCGTGGAAATAGTTTATATTTTATTTCTACCTTATTAAGGAAAATGGTACCTATTATTAATAACGGTTGTTTCTGAAACATTACTAAAATTTTCGAAATTTTATTTTTCTACAAAATAATAAACTTACTATTTAGAAAAAAAATTATATCTCTTATAATTTTATAAAAAATAACGGGAATATTTACATTTCTTGATCTATTAAACAAAACGATAAATTATCTCGACGAATGACACCATGTTCTAGTACGGAAGCTAGCTTTACATTTTTGTTGGTGGTTTCATATCAATTTTTTGTAATTGTAGTTTACACGTACATATACCTCTTAACACTTGTTTGCTTTATTAAAAAAGTGTGTTGTTGTGATTTACGTCGAAATAAGTCAAAAACAACTTGAAACCCCATATAAAATCAAAAAGGAGAAACGAAAAAAAATTGAGCCTGTAAATGAACACAACTCATAAACAAAAATAGCTATCTAATAATAAAAAAATAAAATTTGATTCTTGTGCAGCTTCATCTATATCATTAACTGTTTTTGGTTTTTTAATGGTTTTTCTTGGTGATGAAAATTCCGATATCTCACGGTTATCGATTCTTTTTTTCTCTCCAGAAATGCGGACGACAGTGTTTTTAGATACTCCTGTGGCTGCAGCAACACGATCATTTACATTTTTAAATGGTATTGAAGGTGAATTAAAGTTTCCTTCTCTTCTCATAAACTCTATAACATTGGCTATTATTTCGCGAGATTGACTGTTAATCACGCGGCCTCTTAATTTGCTATTAAACTCCATACTTAGGTTCTATTAAACTGTAATGAGCAAAAAACACAAACGAAAATAAAAGAAATGTTTTAGCGAAATTTACATCTGACATTTACGTCTGAATGAAATAGTGAAATACTTGATGCGCAGAGTGTACTTTCATTGCGTAAATCCGTCGGGATGCCTGTCAGTAGTGCTTTCTCTGTCTAGCCGTCGAAAGCCTCTAGAAATTTGATGAACTGTACCTAATGAAATCTAGTAACATAACGGTAATTTATTTTTCTTTAATTGAGACATTAAATTACCACTTGCCCTAAAAATTACCGAACAATTTTTTTAAATAACCCATATGTTACCATATTGTTGTTTTTAAATTACCGTTAAATTAATTGACTCATAACTATCCATTATATTTCTGTTAAATAACCACTTACCGTAAAACTACTATTATTTACCTTTTATATGACCAAATTAACTGACTCTGTGTTTGCTGGGTTGCTTTTTCAAGAAGTGTTCCACTCTGTTAAACCAATATTTCTGTTCTGATATGAAAATAATTTCGATTATGTAGAACAAGAATCCGAAGGGCTTTGGTTAAGAAATACGATTATAAATTTTCTGTCATAAGAAAATGGTCTGAATTACAGTTCATCAAATTTCTAGAGGCTTTCAACGGCTAGACAGAGAAAGCACTACTGACAGACATCCCGACGGATTTACGCAATGAAAGTACACTCTGCGCATCAAGTATTTCACTATTTCATTCAGACGTAAATGTCAGATGTAAATTTCGCTAAAACATTTCTTTTATTTTCGTTTGTGTTTTTTGCTCATTACAGTTTAATAGAACCTAAGTATGGAGTTTAATAGCAAATTAAGAGGCCGCGTGATTAACAGTCAATCTCGCGAAATAATAGCCAATGTTATAGAGTTTATGAGAAGAGAAGGAAACTTTAATTCACCTTCAATACCATTTAAAAATGTAAATGATCGTGTTGCTGCAGCCACAGGAGTATCTAAAAACACTGTCGTCCGCATTTCTGGAGAGAAAAAAAGAATCGATAACCGTGAGATATCGGAATTTTCATCACCAAGAAAAACCATTAAAAAACCAAAAACATTTAATGATATAGATGAAGCTGCACAAGAATCAAATTTTATTTTTTTATTATTAGATAGCTATTTTTGTTTCTGAGTTGTGTTCATTTACAGGCTCAATTTTTTTCCGTTTCTCCTTTTTGATTTTATATGGGGTTTCAAGTTGTTTTTGACTTATTTCGACGTAAATCACAACAACACACTTTTTTAATAAAGCAAACAAGTGTTAAGAGGTATATGTACGTGTAAACTACAATTACAAAAAATTGATATGAAACCCATGAAACCACCAACAAAAATGTAAAGCTAGCTTCCGTACTAGAACATGGTGTCATTCGTCGAGATAATTTATCGTTTTGTTTAATAGATCAAGAAATGTAAATATTCCCCTGTTATTTTTTATAAAATTATAAGAGAAATAAATTTTTTTCTAAATAGTATAGTTTATTATTTTGTAGAAAAACAAAATTTCGAAAATTTTAGTAATGGTTCAGAAACAATCGTTATTAATAATAGGTACCATTTTCCTTAATAAGGTAGAAATAAAATATAAACTATTTCCACGATTTACAAAGGCCTACAAAAAAATTATAGGTATTTTCCGCTATTCTATAAAATTTATATTTTCTGACTCAATTTCAAAAGGTTGAAGGAATTCCAAAACACCTTTTATGGCATAATAATTATTTTCAATTCTACATACTATCTTTAGCTGCTTTTAAAAACGTTCTAAGAAAGTCCAATCAGACCAATTTAATCCCTAAACTATTCCACACTTTTAAAATTTAATTACCTAAAAATATTAAAAACTATTTAAAATAACTTGTTTAGCAGACTGTACAATAGCTATCTTAGTCACACGTAGCGCGTTCTCTGTCTGGGCGTCGAACACCTCTAGAAATTTGATGAACTGTACCTAGTAAGGATGATATGCAGTTATAGGAATCGGATTTAGTTATTAGGGTATTGTAGAAATGTTTTGGAGTGAGGGTAGCCATATGTGAGTAGTAGGGATTAAGTGTAAAGGTTAAAGAAAAGGTCCTTTATTTCTCACAAGTCAATTTATTTATTGTAGAAATGTGTTGATAAATGAAGAGTAATAGTTAATAGTTTTTATTTATGTTTTGTTCTATTATAACATAAATATCAAATTCAAATGTTTATTTTAAATTGTAATAACCTTATTCAATAAATTTTCCTGGCAGTTCATAAAAAAAACACCAAATAGTATTCTAAAATTACATTTTTAACTTTTAATAATCTGTTTTAGATCCTAATCAACATGGAGACAATGAAGTCACAAATGAAGTTGTAGATGTAACTGTTCCTATCCAATGTCTAGTCAAAGATAGTAAATTAGAAATACATGTACAAAATAAAGTAAGTATTACCTGAATATACAGGGTATTCGTGAATAAGTGCGACAGATTTTAGGGGATGTTACCGATGGTATTTTGTGAAAAAAATTCCTATAAACATAGGTCGAAATATGCTTCGTTTCCGAAATACAGTGTTTAAATTTAAATTTTTTATTTATTTTTATTATATCAAAGAGTTTTAATGATATTGGCTGCGAATTTGAAAAGGTTTTGGAGGGATAAATGTGCATTTTGTTGGAGTGGTCCAAATATTTTTACTTGCACCAGTGGCGTTCGCGTGAGAATGTCACAACTTTTTTTTTGTAAAAAAAGTGCGCCACTCCACCATAGAAATAGTATAGAAAGCCGATTCCATATATCAAAAATGAAACCATAAGGAGAAAATAGTGTGTCGGAGCTCATGCGTATAACGGTGCTGGCGCGAACAGGACCGGTGCAAGTTTTTTTATTAATCGAACAAATAGTTCGCACGATATTTCAATCATACATTTTTAGAGATGATTATATACAAAAAACGATTAAAAAAATTTCAAGTTAAGGTAAATATGGTTCTGACAGTCCTTATTAAGAAAGATATGGCATAAAATATGAATTAGTTAATTTTCGGCAATCATTAGTACAGTAGTCATGAGATTTTGCTTGTAATTTTAAAAATACTTTCCAGAAAAACCACGTGCTCCGGTTTTAACTACGTTTATTATTAAACAGCGAAATTATATACAAAAACTTTAATCCACAATCTAAATTAGGTACTATCACAAGAAAATCACTGTTACAATAATTAATTACTTAACCAAAAACTAAAATACTTTTTAGGTACCTACGTAACCAGAAAGGAGCTGGACCATTTATCCTGATATTGATTTTCTCTCTCCCTACGGTAAAACTTAAAACAATAACAAATTGCCTATCTACTAGGGTCGGTAACTAAACGTATATACATAATGGGCGGATTTTGTTTATACTTAACATTACACTCGCGCATTTAAATATAACTATGCATATAAATATTTACAAACAAAGATACTTTTCCAAACAGGCAATCATTAGTACTGTAGTCACGAGATTTTGCTTGTGATTTGACATCTTATTTGATAATATCATTTGCTACAACTAAATTTAATCTGGGGAGTGCAAAATAGGGCCCAGGAATATTATGTTCGATATTTTTTTACATTTTGTCAGCCGAGACTATGAGTCGTTAGACAGAAAACCTTTCATGTTACCATTTTCAATATAAATTAAAAAATACTACTACATTTACTTGGTACATATTTTATTTTAATTTTGAACCTTTTTAAAAGGGTCTTTCGGTTCCATAATAAAAATTAGTTGCTGCTTACTAGAAACATTCTATATAGCCTAAACCAATTTATAGTTTGTTTTCGATCAATTTAATACAAAGATTTAAAGTTTTTAGTCGATGATAACATTCCACACCAACACATTGCAAACCTATTTTATAAATAATAGGAATAAACTTGTAAATCATTAATTTGGTAGTTATCTCACTCATATGATTTTTTTGTTTATATGACTATTTCGATTTCTAAATATATTTTGGCCTTACAATACGAAGCGTTTTGTATCTACCACTTTTTTAATGAACGATGAATGTTGGCAGGCGTGTACCTTTTTCGGAACAAGAGGCGTTTTAACGAAGAAAATGATTTTCGAACTATCTAGTTAGTTTTCGGAAAAATAGAAAACGTTTGAAGAAAGTTGTCAATAACAGTTTGTCGTTCATGTGTTTCATTTTGATCAGCTTTCATACTAAATTGCGTAGAATATTTTTCCGATTCAAAATCGAGATTCTCGATATTTCCACAGTTCATTTATAATATAATAGTTTATTTATAAACTGGATTTATCTATCATTTTATATACTTTATAATATATGTTCATGCCCTACTTTTCACTTTATTAACAATTTTTTTTTAACATACTTCAAAATGGTAGGATTTTCTCAATTCGTTGAAATATTTTTTTTATGTATGCTGAGCAATAATTCTTTACCACGTTGCCCGATTTCTAGGATTATTTTTGTTAGAAAAGGAAACAGTTTTACATACATTAAGTCAAGATCTGAAGATGGGATCCATAAGAAAATCATTAACATCTTTATTTTTAAAGTAGGTTTTTTTTTTAAATTTCTTTAAACCTTACTGGTTCGAACGCGGTAAGGAATGAAGAAATGTAAATAATTGTTGTGCCAGCCAAAAAGCGAAGAGGAAGTACCGATTAAAATATCGAGTGACAGATGAGTTCCTAAGATTGTTGAGATCGGGTTTATGTTTTAAAATGCCTTAAAACCGATATCTATAATGTCTCCCCGTCGCTGGGAAGCCTGTATATAAATATACAGCTCTCTATTTAAATAATTATAATTCTTAGGTAGGTTTAGATTTGCAGACATAAATCTTGTAATAAATATAACAGCTGCCTAATACATTGATTACATTTTCATTAGCCAATGTAAAAATGTCTTTTATTGTACCTAGGATTTGACTAAACACTACACAAAACTAAAAATAAAATGCCACTTTCATCGTGTAATTAATGCCGCGTTTGAGAATCCACATCGGATGCATTTTTTACATCTCGAGCGTTTTTTATCCACATCGGACACATCTGTCCCATTACATTTACGTATACTGAATCACGTGATCAAAGATTTACTACTTACTATATCTCAGATGCATCCGATGTGGATTCTCAAACGCGGCATAAATAATAAACTACAAACGGTCCTGTAAGGGCAGCGTCATATAGCCTTGAAACACCGGATTTTAGTGCTATTGCCAGGTCAATATTGAATTTGTAGATGAATCGCTTATTGAACATTAAAAATACGGTATTAATGACATTAATACGGTATTTGTATATATTTTTGGGAATGTAATTACACATAAATATTATTAGTTGAATATTTAAATGTGTATAAGTTATTTTGTGGCGATATTTCGTAGATATAAACTGTTTAAATCATATAATTTAAAAATTAATTAATTTAAAATTGTTTTCTGTTAGGTATGTTTAATATATTTGGCAACACTACAGGGACAAGTCATGCATATTGCGCAAGCTTCTAGACACACTATTTTGCGATGTCAGGCGCAGAGACGCGTTTTTATGCACAGTAGGTTTCAATTTCTTCTTAAATGTTATGTTTATATTGGTCTTCTATATTATTTCTATGGATAAATGTGCATTTTGTTGGAGTGGTCCGAATATTTTTACTTGCACCAGTGGCGTTCGTGTGAGAATGTCACAACTTTTTTTTTATAAAAAAAGTGCGCCACTCCACTGACTTTTTCCCGCCGAATTTTTTAACAAAATAAATTCGATAACCACCGCCTAAAATCTTTCGCAAATATTTGTGACCGAATTTGCAACATTTAGGTTGATTTTTTTTTAGTCTGAATTGCCAGGTTTCTTTGATCCAGCGTTAGGTGAAGAAAAAATGTTACACATTATTTATAACTACCATGATCAACCTCATGAAATTACTGTGGGTGAAAATGAACCTTTACGTTTACCAAAAACTTGTAAGTACTTGCGTTACACTCCAAAAGTATAATCATATTAGTTATGTTTTATTTTTAGCACATCGGACGAACATTACGTAGTAGGAATATCAAAACTGTCTTAGTTGAAATTAGGAGTTATTGCGGAGATTCTAAATTATAGATATTGAAAAATACCTACTTGAAGCAAGTTGTAACTGTTTTTTGTGGAGAGGTTCTCAACTGTTTTTATTTGCTGTTGAAAAAATGATTTTTTTATAAACAATAAAATTGTTGCCTAATTTGTTTTTTATTAAAAAGAATTAAACCATTGATATTATGCAATATTCCATTGACCCGTTAGGCTACAATTTGCAATATTGATTGTTACCTTTTTGATAAATGTTAATTTCAAAACACTTATAGAGATTTTTACTATCTCAGTGAAATTTAATATCAAACGTTACTTACCTTTAAAAATTAAAAAAATAAATGAGCACATCCTTTTCTCGGTCGTGAATTCGGCTTTTCAAATAGACAATTTTAAGGGTAGTAATCTTTCTAGGAAATGTTGGGCACCAATAATTCTCTTTTTTATTTTTAAAAGCTAGTGAGAATTATAAATTCTAGCTTTGTCAATAAAAAGAAGTTAATAAAAATTATACAGAATTTAGTGAATGAAAGAGAATTTTTGTGACCTTTAAAAAATAAGATTCAACATATATACTTATAAAAATTAATGATTTTATTTAAAAAAAGAAACCTTTTCGAAAACAAATTATTCACAGTTATCAATTGTGATTCGTACATAAATAATTCTAGTCACTATATAGTAATTACCACATTTTACTTTGTTAGCTAACCACTTCTAGATAGCCATAGGTAGTTGAGATTTATGTCCCTCGGAAACCAACGCTTTTGTCGGTTAATCTTTCTTCTTATGAAGCTTCGAATTGTAGCTGTCGCTTTTCCAATCAACTAACTTTTCACAAGAGATTTCTGCTCCTCGGGAACCAACGTTCCGATTACAGCGGTTGAATTATGGTTTTATGGCTTTGTAGCTTATATGGATTTATGGCTTATGGCTGATTCCATTCGTTTGCTAGACAAAAATAGATTTTGTTTTTCACGTGGTTCTGTACGATATATAAATTTGAAACATCTACTTTTTTTTTTTAAAAAATGAACCAATCAGATAATAAAAACTAGTGACTATACATATTGTGCCGTTCTAGCAACCAGAATGAATCATAAAAATATATTTAACTTTACTATTAAAAAACTAATAATTAACAAAAGGTTTGAATAATATTTCTACTGAGATATTTAATAAAGACATTATATACTTTTTATGCTTACCACTTTAACAGCCAATGCACCACCGATACAATCGAAAGGTAATAATAAAATGAAATTTACAAATCTAATTTGAGATCGTTTGGTTAGTGGTACTCCCACTTAGAAATTTCCCTTTCTTTAGAATATTGTGTGTTGGCGATAATTAAATTATACGGGATGGCACACATTTTATAATTAGACTTTTAAAATATTACTGGTACAAAAACTGCAAAGGTTTTTTCTTTGTTCAGCTTTAAGATATAAGGAATTTTTGAAAAAGTATCAGTACTCTCAAAGTTTGAGACATTACTTGTGGCTCTTCCTGTGTAATTATGTTGTTCGGTTTCTAAAAATCAACCAGAAAACAATCTTTAATATCCTCTCAGGGGTATAGAGTCTGGCATACCTTTGTTAAAAGTGCATTATAGGGAAAGTTTGTACTCCATTGAATGGTTGCCAGGTAGTACACACCGTGCCGTTTGTATATTATTTTTAAGCCTAGTTTATCGCAAATTAGAAGAACCCGAACATGTTATATATCGACATTAGACTGCAATATGCATTAAGACATGCTCATTAGCAGTCCCCTAAGAATTGTTTAAAATGCCACAAATGGTATAATAATCAGAGTTAGAAGAAAGTGATAATATGCAAGTGGTTTCTTCATATCCAGTAAAAATTTGGCGCTACTGTTGCAGGTAATTTAATTTCAAATTGGCCATATATGTAATCATGTTTTCTTATTTTGACATATAAACTGACATTTTTTGTTAGTGTTAAAATGATTCACTTTATGCAACTAGTTGCGTAATGTTGAACATTATGAAACTTGTTACGAAAACAAATAAAAATAAACCTTTTTTGGTCATAAAATTAATAAATACATTATTATTATATAAATATAAATTTTCTATCAAAGAATGGAAGGTTACTATATAAAACTAGGATTTGGTTAGTGAACTTACAAACTAGTAATAATGTTGTTTTGGTCCTTATTTTCCGTCTGAATCTGCACAAAATAATCAAAACACAATATACGACCAAATAACCTACTTTCTTAAAAACTAAACAACTTTAACTAGTAATATAATCACTTACAAGTCATTGAAAATAAATTAATATGATTTCTATTTGTAAATAAAAATGAGTGAACAATACAAAAAATCTGATGTGTCCAACACATGACTTTCCTATCTAGTTATTACAGGCTTTTTCCGGTTATTTTGTACAACCTATTGCAGCATCTCTATAAATGTTTAGAGGATAAACTAAATATATACATTGTCCACATACATCTACCGCCAAACATTTTTCTATAGATATTCATTGAAAATGAAAATACTGAAAAATTTAAATTTAGCACTTTTCCTACAATTTTTCCATTACGGTCCATTTTAAAAAAATCATGTAAAAAAATTTTTATAGAGATCGATATCGCAAACAACTTTTATTTCAACAATTTTCATAAAAATCAGAATTTTGCACATTTTGTCAAATTTTTCGAATACGGACCATTTCAGGAAATTTTTACATAAAGCAAAAATTATAGATAATAATATTAGAAGTAACTTTTATTTGAACAATTTTTTTCTCCAAACATAAATAACAGATATATTCCATAAAATATAAAAACGGCCTCTTATAAAGTACCCCCCCAGATGTTCCAACTTTGTCCAAAATCTAATCATTTCACGTCAGGCCGAAATAAAACTTAAGTTTAAAATTTAATGATTTTTTCTTTATCCGTTTTTGAGTTTTCTTCAAATTTCGAAATTTACACATTTTCTCAAATATCTTGAATACGGTCCATTTTAGAGAAATTATCTATAGGATAAAAATTATAGAGAATTATATTACAAACAACTTTTGTTTGAACAATTTTTATAAAAAATAATATTTTTTTACATTTTGTCAAATTTCGCGAATACGGACCATTTTAGGAAAATTTTGTATATAACAAAAATTATAGATAATAAAATAAGAAGTAACTTTTATTTGAAGAATTTTCTTCCCCAAACGTAAATAACAGATATATTCCATAAAATATAAAAATGGCCACCTATAAAGTACCCCCCCAGATGTTCCGACTCTGCCCAAAATCTAATCAGCTCATTAGACGCTGGAACAAAGCTTAAGTTTGAAATTTGGTGTTTTTCCGTGTATCGGTTCATGAGTTATGCGTTATACAGACACACACACACAGACACACACACACACACACACACACACACACACACAGACATCATCGCGAAAATAGTCAAAACGGATTCAGGGGACCTCAAAACGTAAAAATCCGTCGAAAACTCGAGGTCGAAAAAAATCATGATTCCTATACTTTCCTTATATCTGTATACAGATAGGAAAGTAAAAAGTAATATTAGTTACTTATGTTAGTAATATTTTAGCAAAACACAATTTTATAAATAATTACTCAAAATTAGAAAAAATATTGTATGTTACATGTTAAGAAATGCTGTTTTGGGTAACTCGTTCATGTTGCGGCATCTCGCTTTGTTCGTTCCGCAAATATTTACTCGTTACATAAAATAAGGCATTTCATAAATAGCTAAAAAAACAATCATCCTATATAAATAGCGCAGCAGGAGTTGAACCAAAAGACCATTAGGTAAAAAACAGCACAAGATTTTTATATTTATTTAAAAAGGAACACTGTATAAATTTTGTATAAGCAAATAGAAAAAAAAACATGTAAGTGTAATAGTTGATTTTATTTGTTTCAGTGATGTCATACTTGTCAAAAGTTTATGCTACACGTCGTGTATATTGTCAAATATTGGGTGGTATGATTGAACGTTTATGTTATCCATAACGTACATGTTAGGTCGAATTTTAACAGTAACGAAGCAAGTTTGTACGATGGAAAACTGTTAAATTAGAACATAAAAGGCGGAAAATAACAGTAATGTGTTGGAAACCGTTTTTCATCATACGAACTTGCCTAATTACTGTTAAAACTGAGCCTAACATGTACGTTACGGATAACGTAAACGTTCAATCATAGGACCCATTTGAAGCTACACTGAACAAATCAAATGCGTTTAGTGCAGAAAACTTACACCTAGTGCAACAAATAAATCCATTTCCATATCAATATATTTTCGATATATCAAAAACATTATTCATAAAGCGTGTGCTCGTGCGCATGCGACATTGATTGACGTTGGCAGCTAACACGTCAGGGCATACGTGGCTCTTTGTTTTATTTTTTAGATAGTGACTAGCAGTACATCGGATGTACGCGTTTTGGTCTCCTTTTGACAGAGTAAGTGAGTTGTGTCCAGGCCACATACTTTGATTTTCTTTTACTATACGGAGAATGGTCGCACTGCGCAGCTTTTTGAGTGCCTTTTAAAAGGAGATAGAGAACTCCGCCATTTTGAACCCTTATTACGTGTTGCCTACATCTTGGCGCAATATTTTTAATAGGTGCGTTTTAATCATCCGCTTCTGCTTCGGAATTGTCGGTTTTCTTGTTTTAATCTGACAGGATAAAGCGACTAAACCGGCAATTCCGGAAGCAGAAGCGGATGAATAAAACGCACCTGATATTTTGCTTGCTGCTGTCAGTGTCAGTGAATATTATTTTTGAAGTCACAGTTTATTACTAAAGAATCAGTTAGCTCACTCGGACCAGTTGAAAGTTCCAAAATAACATCCACTCCAGGGATACAAATTCAGGATACGCAGAAGACTGCTGTTTTATTATAGGCGATTGTCATATATTGTATTATCCGAGTTGCACAGTATATAAACTGAAACATTGA